GACACATTACAACACAGTTGCTCAAGTGCATTGTGCCAATTGTGCCAATTATGGTTTATGAATATTTTATTATGAATATTGGAGAACTTGCTGGTTGAAACTAGGTTGCGTTGCTCCAAACAACCAATTAATCATCACAACTTTGATCAGCAGAAATCCTCCTACTCTGTTTGTAGTGTAAACACTTCAAAAGCAAATTAATTTGATTTGTGTCTTTTCAGTGCCAAGAGATATAACAAATAAACACAATTACTAGTAGCTTTTTGAATGTAACAATAAATAGTAAATTGGAATACAGTTGCACTTGCAGATGTGTGGAAAATGTCTTGCACATTTATTTTCTATTGAGTTTTATTGCTGAACAATTTAAGATGTCAGTGGATTTTCTGTTTATGTTAGATTCAGTAAAATTGCAATTTGAGCTTTTGTTTTATGTTATATCAATCAGAATTATTTTGACTGATGTTTTTGGCAGGGATTATTCTCATTATGCTGAACTGCAAACACACTGGTCACTGTTTAATATTAATGATGAGTCATGATCTATCTGCTGCACCTTTACAATAATCATTACTGCCAAAATGTCTTATTTTATTCAATTAATCCCATATAACAAAATGAGTGAAAGATGTGGAACATAATCTTTACCTACAATTCTGTTTTAAGCATTCTAAAGTTTTTTTTAGAAAAATAATATTTAAGTATGCTTATAAGAATGGTTAGGAAACATTATGAGCTTAATCTAATTCTGCAAGGGGTTCTGGCAGTGCAGTATCATGCTGTGGAAATTGTTGATATGATTAGAAATGTAATTAATTTTGGTAAATTATCTCAAGTGCTCAATCAAATTAATCATATGTTTTTCAACCTCAATATCTAATTATGAATCTCATTTATTTAAATAATCCTGCTTTTAATTATGTATGTATGAATGTATGCATGTATGTTTGTGTGTGTTTGTGTGTGTGTGTATGAGAGAGATTGTTTGGAATTAAAAAAAACTTTCCTGGCACCTGTTCCAGTCATGACCCTCTTGACCCTCTTGGGTATTTCCATCATATTGTCCTCAAAGTTACTCGATTTCAGGATTGCAAAGGTATGTGCTTCTCTATCTTATGAAGCTTTTTGAGACGTCTCAAAGACGTGATAATGCACTGTATCAAATGCATGGATTATTATTATTAAGGAGCACATGACAAAGCAGAAATAATAAGAGGCTATTTGCTTCATGGATCTTGTTCTTTCCAATGGAGTCTTTTGTCGAGTCCTGTAGCTCAGTGGTTAGAGCACTTGCCTTGCAAGCGAGACACCTGGGTTCAATTCCAGGCAGAGGGCGAAACCTTGGGCAAGTTTCCTTACTCCACACACCTAATAATAATCCCTCCAAAAAACAAAACAATAATAAATTGGTCATTTTCAATCCACGACTGTTTGTGAGACACTGCTGTGTGAGATTGGCTGCCGCGTTTCGCCCACAAATATACAGTCAATTCACTTTAAAGCATTTTCTGTGAAGCGCTTTGAGACGACTAGAAGATGTGAAAAGCGCTATATTAAATGCAAGGATTATTATTATTATTATTAATGACCATACATAGTTTGTCTTATCCAATACTCAACAAAATTCATGCTGTGTTTGATGGTGATTCACTGCGACTTGATGCTATTTTAGTGGTGACTTGCTTCTATATGAGGTAAGGAAATGCAAATCATGCTGGAGCCTACTTTTCACACCACTGGGAGGAGCTGGTTGCAATAGTGCTGTGATTCTTGGCTGCCTTGTTTTGCCCATAAATACATAGTCAACCCACTTTACAGTATATTCTGTGAAGCGCTTTGAGACGTCTCAGCAATGTGATAAGGCGCTGTATTAAATGCAAGGTTTGTTATTATCATTATTCACACAAGCTACAATAAAAACTGGGCATGTGCACATCACACTGGATTCATTCCCTGAGATTTGTTGAATGTTCTGAGTCCCAACAGACACCTGAGGAACTTGTTTTTAATGTTGTTAAAGAGATAAATGTGCAACTTATTTTTTAATAACATTAAAAACAAACACTTGATTTTAATGATATGTGTGTACACAAACACTGATACCTTGCTTAAATTTCAAAGCACTGTAGCACAGCTCACTCAACAACAACTTGCATTTATATAGCGCCCTTCACGGGATCGTGTCTTGGAGTGTTTAACAGCTTTGTGATTTCCGGATTGGAAAGAGAGGGGAGGTGACTGAAGGCATGGTAGAAGACAAAAGTCTTCTGGTGTGATTTGAAGATGGGCAATGAGGGAGCAAGTCAGAGGGATTGAGGCAAGTAGTTCCAGAGATTCAGGTCACAGTGGCTAAACTTGTGTGGAGTATAAGCACAAGCTGAACTGGATGGGCTAAATGGCCTGTTTCTGTGCTGTACTTTCTATGAATCTGGAAAATATAGCTCAAATTTTGTGAAGCGCTTTGAACCATCTCAAAGACATGATAAGACACTATATCAAATGCAAAGATTATTATTGTCGCTGTATGGCTAGGAGAGAAATGGCTTTGCTTTCTGTTGTCTAGACACAGCACTAATCTGAGGGAATGTTTGCAAAGCTTCATTCTGAACACTCACAAAAAGCAATTAAGTGAGACTCCAGAATATCCAACATTCTTATTTATGTTTCAATTCATGCTGATTTAATGCTGTTTTCAACTGGAACATAAGAACATAAGAATTAGGAGCAGGAGTAGGCCATTCGGTCCCTCTAGCCTGCCCCGCCATTCAATAAGATCATGGCTGATCTGTTCTAACTCCACCTACCCGCCTTATCCCCGTATTCCATAATCCCTTTATCCACAAGAAATCTATCAATCTCAGTCTTGAATATGTTCAAGGACTGAGCAACTACAGTCCTTTGGGGTAGAGAATTCCATAAATAAAAGGTGAAGCATTAGCCTGGTTTAAAACAAATTATTTTATTCAGTCCTCAGGAGGTGCTTTCAGGAATTGAATTGCTGCTTTGGCTGTGGTAACACTTTATAAATGTGGCATGAAGGGCGCTATATAAATGCTAGTTGTTGTTATAATAATAATAATAATAATCCTTGCATTTGATATAGCGCTTTTCACGTCGGGAGGACGTCCCAAAGCGCTTCACAGAACATACTGCAAAGTGAATTGACTGTATATTTGTGGGCGAACGCGGCAGCCAATTGCGCACAACAATGTCCCACAAACAGTCGTAGATTGAAAATGACCAATTTATTATTGTTTTGGGTTTTTGGAGGGATTATTATTAGGCGTGTGGAGTAAGGAAACTTGCCCAAGGTTTCGCCCTGCCTGGAATTGAACTCAGGTCTCTCGCTTGCAAAGCGAGTGCTCTAACCACTGAGCTACAGGACTCCACTTGTTGGTATAAATCATGTCTGCACTGAAGTTGGTTTTGAAAGAACATTAATGCTACTGATTCTGCATATTTAGTGGTGAATCACAGTGATTTTCTGCCAGGTGTACAGTATAAATGCCTACTCAGGCTAGAGCCACATTCGTGAATCTGCTGGGTGAAGTGGATTTAAGGGCAGTACAAATTGTGACTGTACTGTGCGCCGTGATCCGCTCTGCCTTACCCCACCTCAGCAACTTCGCCCGGCTACGACCTGTCTTAAACCGCAGGCCACCGAAACGCTCATACACGCCTTCATTACATCGAGGCTCGACTATGCAAACTCACTGCTTGTCGGCTTCCCAACTCCTCCCTCCACAGGATCATCCAGAACTCTGCAGCCCATGTCCTCTCCAGCACTAGGCTCGCCCCCATCCTCGCCCAACTCCACTGGCTTCCCATCACACAGAGGATACAGTTCAAGTTCCTGGTCCTCACCTTCAAAGCCCTCCATGGTCTTGCTTACCCCTACCTCTCTGACCTCCTAACCCCCTACCACCCTATTCGCCCCCTCCGTTCAGCGGGCTCCGGCCTGCTTCATGTCCGCCGCCTTGCTCGCTCCACTATCGGCAGACGGGCCTTCCGCCAATCTGCATCCACCCTCTGGAACTCCATCCCGCAGTCCCTTCATCTTGCTCCCTCCCTTGCCAACTTTAAGATCCACCTCAAGACCCTCCTCTTTGACAGTGCTTTCGATCTCATGCTTCTCCCCCTGCCCTCCACCCACCCCGATCCGCAGCTCGGGTCGGGAACTCTGTCTGTCCATCACCTTGGGATGTCCTCCCGACGTGAAAGGCGCTATACAAATGTAATTTTGTTGTTGTTTTAAACACATCGGGTATGATAACACTTTGCAAAAAACTTTTACTAAAAATCTTACCAAATATTTTTGGCTCTTTAAATAATTTTTTTGAAAAAACACCCAATTTAGATATTCAATTCCCATGTTAAGATGTACATGTTTATGGATCACACGAAAACTGAGTGTTTTTCTTTACCAATTGGACATAATATGCAATGAATAGCGGCTTCCCAATCCACTTCGCTGCACTTCTGGCTATAAAGTGATGTTGCTCTTGGCACTGCAACAACATAAAATGTTTAATTGCTCTTTGGCAGTCCATTGGAATTGGGCATTGTATTGTCCAGCTTCTCACATAAGAGGATGAGTCAAACTACATCTCTGAACAATGGATTTCAACAACAACAACAGCTTGCATTGATATCCCCGACTGTCCAAATCCCTGACTGTCCAGCGCCTTGGGACGGTCTCCCGATGTGAAAGGCGCTATATAAATGTAATTTTGTATTGTATTGTATATAGTGTCCCTCATACAGGTTAGCATCCCAGAATGCTTAAAGAGCTTAGACAACAATTGACCTTAGAAACTGTTGCGGAAAAAGTATAGTGCAGAAACAATGAGACAGGACAGTAATATGTGATAACACACTGAAGTTGTACATGATGAGTTATTTTAAAAAGAGGGATGTGCATCCATACACAGTGGTATAAGAAAAAAACCCTATCATCAGTTGCATTGTTGAACACAACGCTGCATATTCTCATTGATTAGGAATAACAAGAAATAATTTTGAAGGAAAGAAAGTTGTTCAACTTGAATATGAAGCTTATATTTCGATGGCTGAAGCTGAAATAAAGAAAATTTGCAGGGATATAAGGAATAAATGGCCAATGATTCAGCACATCAGTGTCCATCACAGACTTGGGTAAGTTACTGACATTTAATATGTTGTGCATTAGATTATGTTTGAGCAAGAGGAATAGGCATGGTAAAGAGTAGATATTTCTAATAGTGTTTCAATTAGGTATAAATGTGCTTAAAAAATGCCATGTGCCATTTTAGTTAGAAAAATAAGAGGAATATTTCCATATTTCACATGTATTGCATATTAGTTAATCTTTGTGGAATTGAAGGAAAGTTATTCCACTTGAGTGTCACCTGACACCTGGCTCAGTTGGTAACACTCGTCTCTGAGTCAGAAGGTTGTGGGTTCAAGCCCCATGTCGGGACTTTGAACTCAAAATAGTCTCGGATGATTCTCCAGTACAGTGTTGGGAGATTTCTACATGCCTTTAGGTGCCATCTTTGAAATATGGTGTTAAAATTGGTCCTATTTGCCTGTTCAGATGGGTGTAGCACTATTCGAAAATAGAAGAGAGTTGCTCCATATATCCTGCCCAACAATCTCCCGGATAAAATTGGTCATTCACTTCATGGCTGTTTGTGGGTTATTGCTGTGCACAAATTGGCTGACACGTTTGCCTACAAAATACACGTGAACTTTGCCATAAATCCTGTGTCGCAGTTTGAGACCTACTCCCTACATAAAATATGGTATATCCAATCTGAGAATTTTTTTTTGTTATTTAAGACCTTTCAAGAATGCCCTCTTATGAGAATATGGTGGAATAAAAAATGCTTTGTTTATAAATAGAAAGGAGAATAATTTCAAACGATTTTGAAAATAAGTTTTCAGGGCTTTAGAATGAATGGTTTTCTATTTTAAAAAAATCTAATTCCCTTTTTCCGCAGTTTGGTTCCTATAACAGAAGCAAGTGTAATCATAGCCATATCCTCGCCACACAGAAATGACTCTCTTGATTCTGTGAAATATTGTATTGACACTTTGAAAGCAACAGTACCAATATGGAAGAAGGTATTTTTTTAAAAAAATCCAACTACAGTAAAACTCTATACAGTCTAATCTGTATAAATTGTATAATCCCTTAAATCGTACATCTGCTCAAATCCCATTCAAGAGTTTATATTCTATGCAAGTTTGACATAACACATATTTTGCATAAGTCATATTAAATGTATGGTCCCAACTGATATGACGTATGTGAGGTTTACTGTATAAATGCAAATTATTGTTGTTGTTATGTATATATACATATACCAACAATAATTCACATTTATTTAGCAACCTTCATGTGGGTACTTTCCTCAGAGTGCTCACATACATAGAATTACGTATACAGAATCTACAGCACTACAGCACTGAAACAGGCCATTTGGCTCCACTGGTTTGTGAGTCTCTATCCATCCTATTGCCCTCTCCTGAGTCTCTTCCCGTACTCCTAGTCCCTTCTCTCTCATGAATGCATTGAATGTCCTGTTAAATAAATTGATGCTTTCTGCTTCAGCTGCAGTTTTGGGTAACGAGTTCCACATCTCACCACACTCTGCGTAAAGTTCATCTTAAGATCCCCTTTGGATCAAATTAGTAGCTATCGTGTATTTATGGCCCTTGTTATGGACTCACCAACAGGTGGAAACAGTGTATTTATGTTTACCTTATCAAACCTCTTTATAATTTTAAGCGCATCTCTCAGGTCCACTCTGAATCATCCCCAGGGTACAAATTCCTCACCTGTCCAGATAGTTATCTCCTGTTATCCTTTTTCTTGTTTTAGTCTCTCTTCATGTGTACTAGATTCTATGCACAAGTGCAAGTCAAACTATCAAGTACATCAATTTTCCCTTCCCCTCCTGAAGATGTGGTGCCCTTTGCTGAGGGCTGGTCCGTGGGCACTTATATCCTTCAGGTTTCTTGTCCAAGATACCATCTCTCATGTGTGAGCTAGACAAGATGTTTGATGGTGAATTGGAAAAGGCTGACAGTGAATTGAGATTTTCTTGCCAAGCTCTGATTTTGTCTCTCTGGAGCAACTGTCATATAGCTTGAAAATATTTTTTTAACTAAAGGAACTCCTTACCAATAGGATTTTATGAACACTTTCATAAATAATGATTTTCTGAAAATATAATGAAGGGCTGCTTGGTGCTTTATAAACTGCAAGTTGAGGTAATCCTTATTCTTTAATCCTCACTCCCAATGGTGCACTACTAGGGAGAGACTTGGGCAATCCAATTGTTTTAATTTGTCTTTGGATTATTCAGTTGAATCAAGGACATGAAATTATTGAGGCTTAAGTGATTTTTAATTCTCACTCCTCTTAAGAGTTGATTTAACATATATGGAATTCATGGCATTCAGATAACTATACCCCAATGACTGTAAAGTGTTTTTGTTTCTCTTGTCTATTTCTGATTTAGGAGATCTATGACAATAAAGAGTACACCTGGAAGGAAAACAAGGAATGTTTTTGGGCACAAGACCAACAGAAGTAATATGATCCCGACATATCATCTCTTTGCTAAAGTAAAGGGCCTTATGAATTTAAATTTGATTCAAGACACTTGAGATTTTAATTGCATTTGTTCTTAAAATGATTTTCAATTGATGATAGTTGATATTTGCTGATTTGATTCTCACTATCGATGCTGAATCCAACTACAATCCATCTGTCTCCTGTGGGAGCACGATTATGTTAAATTGATATTCAGAAGCCCTAACTATACATAGGAATTTCATACTGCTTATTTGCATGTAGCCTTCTTAGTCAAAACAATAAATTCTAACAGAAAATACCAGCTTTTTTGCTGAGAATTCTCTGATGCCATTTTAGTTAAAAACAGACTTTAACCTTTTCATGTGCACAAATGCAAGGAAATTTCCATTTAGGTCAGCAAGATTTCACAGCTATTTTGGGCATTATTGACCTGGAATGAGTTAAACAAAGTAAATTTATAAATATTCCTGTATGAAATGTTGAATGTACTGTGTACCTAGTGCCCTCTAGTGGGTCAAGTGTGTTCTTTATATGCACATTTTTTGTTACCTGTAATCACAGTTTCATTATTGACCTGTAAGAAAATATATACTCTAAACAAGGTATTCAAATAATCACACTTGCTGCTTTTACAGTCTGTGCATAATGTGTTACAGTGTGCAACATTTTACTTTAAGACACCTTCAGAGCTGGCCTTTGGAACACACCCAAACCAAGTACTCAACTTTTCCATTTCTATCTCTGTTTGGACAAATCTACATGTATACGTCCCTTCTTAACCTTTGCTTATTGTCACAAATCAATTTGTTACCAATTTGATCAACGTTTAAATAGCTATTAGTGAATTTATTCAATTCATAGCATTTTGGTCTTTGGATCATAAGTTTCTGTGTTCAAACTGCAGATCAGGACTTGTTCTTGTATCTAGGCTGATTGTTCAGTGCAATACTTTAGTGCTGGATATGCTTTTCGTCAAATAATTTGCAAGGATTTTTATAGTTTCCTTGCACTTGCATCAAATTATTACAATTTGCTTGTTCCTTTGGATGTTATTGAACCCATGACACTATTTGAAAAGAGGTCGCTATCGGAAACATAACTCAGAAAAACATTTACAAATCATTCAAGATTGTTTTTGAGGAGAATTGAAGCAATCCTATGCCACTACTCGAAAAGAGATTGGAGTTTCTCCCGTGTTCCTGCTCTAACAATTGCTCTAAATAAAATTGATTATTTACTTCATAGCTGTTTGTGAGACATTGCTGTGTGCAAATTGGCTGCCGAGTTTGCTCAGAAAGCAGAGACACTGCATTTTACCATATACACTATGAATGCTTTGGGACATCCTCCCGATGTGAAAGGTGCTATAACAAATGTAAAGATTATTAAGAAATAGACCGTACGAATAGAAAATCTTTGTCCATAACTTTTATTTTAATAAAAATCCTCATCACACAATTGCAATATTAAGTACAAAAAAGAAAGAGGTAATGTATGACAAAATTCCCTTGAACTGTAGATACAGTAGTAGACAAGTTTTGGCAAGAAAGCCACCTAATAAATAAAAGCATTGATGCAGACAACAAACACTCCTCAAGATAATTTTTTATTAAACAAAACAGTTGTATCAGTGCAAATAGCAAAGTCCTCAGCAGTACGCTATAGCTTGCCTTATAGTGCATTCATCTAGACAACCTGAACATCCAACACACTTGGGTTCACAATGGATTTGGCAGTGACTTTTTAAGCACACTGTACGTTCAGGACAAATGCAGAAAAAAAGGCAGAAATGTTGCTGCACATAAAATTCAATCTAAGTGTCACATTATAATAATAAAAAAATGTTAGTACCAGACTTGAAAACCCCAGTTATTTTATTGAAGAGCACTCTTAATTCTAAACAACTATTTTTTAAAATCTATATTATTCCCATAGACAAACTGTACAAAACCCCAACCCTTTCTTAATCTAGCACAAAGAAAAACTTTTATATCAGTTATACCACCAGCCCTATAACTTTACACACACACTGGTGTCGTCTCCACTGACCCAGTTTCCCAGCGGATCAATTTCAAGGTCATCGTCCTCACCTACAGATCTGCTCACTGACTGGCACCTCCTTATCTCCAATCTCCTCCCACCCCTCTCTGCTCATTCACTCTAATCAGCTAAGTCTCTGACTCACTCTGTGACACCATCGGCCAAGCCCTCTGTTTCTATGCCACTGACCTCTGGAACTCGCTCTCTCTACCACTAAACTTGCCTCTCCGTGTCTTTAAATTCCACCTCAAGTCCTATTTCTGAATGTGTCCATGGCCACTTCCACCTCCCCCTCCCTTGCTCAGTGTCCAATCCCATCCCTGTAAAGCGCTCTGCTACATTACCCTATTTGAAAGGTGCTATGTAAATGCAAGTTGTTTTAATTATTTCTTGCTGTGGCTGTAGTTTTTCATCTCGGCTGTGTGAATAGGGTGCTACTTGGATACTATTTGGGCCAAGAGTCCTTATAAGATGTACCTGAATCAGTTTTTGAGGGAACTATAATAATGTTAAAAATTCTAATCTGCAGTCAAATGTGTTATTTGACAGATTACACTGGAACTCTGTTTTCAGTAGGTCAGGAAATAATAGGATTCCACTGTAGCCATAAGATATATGATTTACAAAATATACAGAAATAAGTATTAAATTAATACAGGTATCCAAGACTAGGGTCACAATGCAGCTTGCATTATGGTGCAGAATTCCACATGTTGCATCTTTTATAGCGTGAAATTATTGCCTGTTCATTGTATCCATGTGACTGCTATTCCATCATTGGTCAGAGCTAATGTTTTTGCTTGAACAAAAATACTTGGCCATATTGCACGCAGAATATGTACACTTCACACAGCCTAAAGAGTACATTATTTTGTCAACAAAATATCCAGTCAATTCACTTTACAGTATATTCTGTGAACCGCTTTGAGACGCCTTGAAGACGTGAAATGCAAGGATTATTATTCTCAGTGTTAAATTGCACTTGAAACATTCAAAAATGTAAGTTTCAATTTTTGTCTCTGATAGTTAATGCAGTGTGCAGTAAAAGTGAGATAGCTATTGATATCATTTCACCCATGAAAAATATTGCTCTCAAAATCAATGAAATATTTCAACTTTTTTTTAACCTTTCATGTGTTGCTCAATTCAAGTACCTGTGAAATCTAGAACATTTAAATTACATTTGTCAAGTTTATGCCTCCTGCACATTATCAAAACTAACCATTCTGGAATGTAAACAATGAATACATCCCCAACCCCACTGATATAACAGCACTGTTTGGTGTTTGGTACTGTGTAAGTGTACCAGCATTTGTTTCCAGGCAGGTTCAATAATTCGTTCCATAAAGTAGTCCCACAGAACAAAGAGCCACCCATTCACAGTGAAGACAGGCAACGCTCAAGATTCTTCGGGGGAATTGGTAAGGCTGTCGTTTTCCTCTTCATCCTTTATCAGTTTGTTGTATTTCCTTTTGAAGAAGCCAAGCTATGAAACATTAAAAAAAAACGCTGATTTCATTTCAGAGAAAATATAAAGTCTCAATAGGTTTAGACACAGCAATTACCATCTATTGCCACTTCCCATAAAGAGCTCAGTTATAAATCGCGATTTGGGACAATCTTCAAAAACACAACTGAGAGGATTATTTTTTTTAAAAGTTAGTGTGTCTGATTACTTTTCTAATTTCTTCTCTATTGACATAGGGTCCTCAGCCTCCTCATGCTGTTGCCTCCCGCTATCCTGCCCAAGTGGCCATTGATCACATGTGGGGACATGGCAGTCAGTTTCAGCACACCGCTCGATCTTAGAGTGTTACAGCTAAGCTTGATCTCTCCTCACGAGGCTGTCACACATACATACCATCAGTAGAGGGTGCTGCAGAGAGACCAGGAGCAGGAACCCTGACTTTGGAATATTGTATTTGAGCTCTTGCGATATTGTGTGATCCTGGTCCTCACCTTCAAAGCCCTCCACGACCTTGCTCCTCTCTATCTCTGAGACCTCTTAACCATCTGCCATCCTGCCTGCTCCCTCCGCTCAGCGGGTTCCGGCCTGCTTCACGTTCCCCGCCTCGCCCGTCCCACCATTGGCGGGCAGGCCTTCTGCCTCTCTGCCCCCACCCTCTGAAACTCCATTCCACAGTCCGTCCACCTCGCCCCCTCCCTTGTCTCCTTCAAGACCCATCTCAAGACCTTCGTCTTTGACCGTGCCTTTGGTCACCCTCTTACCTCTACCCTCTAATAATAATAATCCTTGCAATTGATATAGCGCTTTTCACGACTTCGAGATGTCTCAAAGCGCTTCATAGAATATACTGTAAAGTGAATTGACTGTATATTTTGTGGGCGAAACATGGCTTCCCCGCCTTCTAGAACCTCCTGGTCCCAACCACCAGCTTGGGTCCAGACCCCTGACTCTCCAGCGCCTTGGGATGTCCTCCTGACGTGAAAGGCACCATACAAGTGTCATTTGTTGTTGTTGTTCTGCATGCCAATGACCTTCCAGTTCTTTGGACACAGGTAGTGATGCCACCACACTCAGTATTGGAAAGTGGCTCAGTTGCAGAGAATGATGTACTATCTTTGTTTATCTTAGGGTTCTTTGATTAATGTATGTTCCCCCTTTGATATTTGTATCCTTCCACAGGAGTAATATCCACTTGTCTGTCCCAAATACTCATTCCCACTTGCTGGACTGAGCCTTTGATGCCATTATAATCAAGATCTTTCTTGTTATAAGTTCTATAACTTGCTGTCCTGTCCCAGAATTCGTCGCCAATGTCAGGCATGAATAAGTCTTCTATGGTTCTCCTTAATTTAGCCCTTCTCATGACGCACTACAATGCCTAACTTGAGTTTCTATGTTCTATTGATGTTTCTATTGATTGTCCCTATAATCTTATCTCAGGAGTGTGACTGTTGCAAAGAGCTTTCTTATTGTTGTGATATTGTGATGGCATTTTTCTTTTATTTGCATAATTTCACATTTTGTTTCTTCTTTTCGTACATCCTAACAATTGATTCATAACTTACCAAACAGAAAAGTTTAAAAATGAAAGGTTTTGAGATACGTCCAGTCTAGGAACCAGGTGACAAACTCTGTGAAAGGAAGAAGTTACTTACTTTCCACAAGACAGCAATCAATACTGCAAGTAAAAGCAATCCTCCGATCGTACTTCCCACAATCACTCCTGTAGGAATGTCTTTTTTTCCAACTGGATTGGTTATTGTAATCGGAATCTAAAAGTCAAAATAAAAAGTACTGTTATAATTTGGTCACCCATCTATGACGGTGTGGGACACCGCTGTGCGCAATCGGTTTCACCCACAAAATATACAGTCATTTCACTTTAGAGTATAGTCTGTGAAGCGCTTTGAGATACGTGACGTGATAAGGCTCTAAATCAATTGCAAGAATTATGTTATATCTCAGCCCTGTTCAGTGGTTCTATTAAACTTGCAAAATCTGCAATAATAATAATAATCCTTCCATTTGATATAGCGCATTTTCACATCTTCAAGACGTCTCAAAGCGCTTCACAGAATATACTGCAAGGTAAATTGACTGTATATTTGTGGGCAAAATCAATCAATTGGAACTAAAACAAAGTTCAGTTTTGGAACCCAGATAGCAATAGTTTTTTTTCCAGACATTTACATTCCTTTGCTTCTAATGTAGCAAATACTCTGTTTTCCACATTAATGAAATAGATGGCATTAATAATTTATACTTACTTGAATCCAATACAGTAGGCGATTCTTTAACTTTTAGTACATTTACTGAGCTTATCAAATAAGTGGATGTGATTCTTCACTGCTTGGTATATGTACTGATTTTAGCAATGTGAGTTTATAATGGGATTTTTGCAATTTAATTCACACCTGATTTATATGTACCAATCAGAATAACGTGCACTGGTTTACCAAGGTAATTTGTCAGAGAATTATATCCATTATTTCACTTCAAAATAGCATTTGAACACTTAGTCCTTTAAAATGAGATGTTATACTGAGTTTCTGTCTGCCTGCTTATTTGGCTGTTAAAAATCTCATGGTAATAGTCAAAACGAGAAGGGGGATTCTCCAACAATTATTTGGTCATTTACATCATGGCTGTTGGGAAATTGCTATTGCATTTGCCTACAAAATACCCAGTCACTACACTTTACATGAAATCCTGTTAAACGCTTTGAGATGTCTGCCGATGTGAAAGATGCTGTATGAAATGCAAGGATTTATTTATTTGATTGATTACAAAATCTTGTATATCACAGTGAGATTTAATTATTGGCATTTAATTATTATCAGTTGAAAATATTGCTTGTGTATTGGAAGGATATTGAATTTCTTCCTCATGTTCTCTTAAGTTCTTCATTACTCAAGATTTAATAATAATCAGTTAATTCCAGTAATAATATATAATACAATAATAATCCTTGCATTTGACATAGCACCTTATCACGTCGTTGAGATGTGTTAAAGAGCTTCATAGAATAAATTGTAAATGGATTGACAGTGCAATTTTTTTGTGGGTGAAGAGCGGCAGCCAATTACGCACAGCAATGTCCCACAAAGAATTGTGAATTGAGCAATCACATTCATTTTTAGGGAATTATTAACCCCGGAAGCGATCTACCAATTGCCTAGCAACCGGGACTCCATGGTTTCATTAGTAATGTGGGTTTATCAATCATTCAAGTCATTACTTTCATTCTTTTTTTGGTAAACAATTTTCTGCTCCTTAATTCATTTTTGCTTTTGTTGAGATTTGATTCCATGAGATTGCCCTCAGGCACATCATCCAAGTGGCCATTATTTATGTCTGATCTTCAGTAATTGAGTGTCAGAAGGTTATTCAAAGGCTGGGGAGTGGGCTAGAGAAGAGAAGATGGATCACAGCCTTGATTCTAATCTCATTCAGCATCCACACAGCAGTTGTCGCGAGTTACAAATCAGGTGGGAACCCTGGTTTCTCCTTCCTAATCCAGGACACTGATGCCAGTTGTAGTGCCTCCCTGGTTGAGAACAGCTAACTTAACATACATCAAGGATTTGAATGGACATTAAAAGTCTACCTACCGTCAGAGTGCTGTTTCTGATGATCAATAAGGATGGTTGGTTTGTTTGAATTTCTGCATTTGCAGTGAGCGTTAGCGATTGTAAGGAAGCCTGTAGAAAATAGGAGAGATATATTGACTGACTTTTCAGATTCATCAATTCCATTGCAATAAATGATTATGAGAAGACCACAGCCCTTTTAAAAACATCAGTCTTGTTTAAAGGATTTCTTTTAAAAACAAAAGGCAAGTAAATCTACAGAGTGCCATCTGCTTTGTGCTAGTCACAAATTGGTGTTTAAAGAGTGAATCCTGCAGATACATGAACGTACAGTGTCTGAAACTGATTCTCGTAGACAATCCTGGGCACCAGGAATCATAATCTGGTTTCATAGAATTAAACCTGAGATCTGCGTTTCATCAGCAAGTTAGAGGTCAGTTTTAGATGATCCTGGTATTTACAGGATCTATAATTTACAAGGAAAGTCACAAGTTGCTTCAAGTAGGAGAATCTCAAATATTTCTCTTCTGATTCGCCTTCTTAACTACCATTTAATTATAATTAGTATTTATCTTACTATTAATAAAACGTAATAATACAATTATTAATATTGCTATTAATTAAATTATTAATAAAAATGGGTAAAGTGGGAGTAAGGTAGAGATATTGAGGCAAAGTGGTTTGGGTAGAGTTGCTGAAGGCATGCCTGTTGATGGCGAAGGAGTTTGGGGGATGCGAAAAAGGCTCGACCAACCATGGGGGGTGGGGGTAGCGAGGAGTAGGATGTGAGCAGATTGGAGAGGTAGGGAGGTGCTAGGGTATAAGGTGATTTATAGGTGAGTGTGAGGGTCTTGAAATAGATCTGTTCTACAATACACAAACTACTGTAACTTCAACATGTGATTTAAACGTTTACATCTACGTAGACCTTCAGATAGTTTCCACAAAACACTTCAACATGTGATCTGTCTATACACTGGACAGAAGCAAAATCAGTGTTGTGATGATCTGGTTCTTTACACTTCATCCAATAAATATTTCAGGAATTTCCACGTATAGGTGAGATGCATGGAACTCTCAGTTTGGTTTGGCAACTCTTAAGCATGTCGATACTAAGCATGGGTGTTCAAGGTAGATAGATCACCCGATCCAGACGGGATGCATCCTAGGTTACTAAGGGAAGTAAGGGTGGAAGTAACGGAGGCTCCGGCCACAATCTTTCAATCCAATCCTCCTTGGACACTGGGCTGAGGACTAGAGGGTTACAAATGTTACTCCCCTGTACAAAAAGGTGCAGAAGGATAAACCCGGGAATTCCAGGCCAGTCAGCCTAACGTCAGTAGTGGGGAAACTTCTTGAGAATATAATAAAACAATTATTAATATTGACATGGGCTGCAGAGTTCTGGATGAAGGAGTGGAGAGGGTGAAGAAGGTAGTGCAGTTGATGTAGCTTATATGGATTTTCAAAAGATGTCTAATAAAGTGCCACATAAGAGACTTGTAAGCAAAATAGAAGCCCATAGTATTAAAGGGACAGTGGCAGTATGGATGGAGACGGAAAGCAGAGAGTGGTGGTGAACAGTTGTTTTTCTGACTGGAGGGAAGTGTGCAGTGGTGACCCCAGGGGTCAGTATTGGGACCACTGCTGTTTTTGATCTATATAAATGACTGGGACTTGGGTATGGGGAGTACAGTTTGATACTAAGCTAGGGAAAGTAGTAAACAGTGAGGAGGATAGTAGCAGATTGCAAAGTGATACATTTTGGGAGGAAGAATGAGGAGAGACAATATAAGCTATATGGTAGAAAATTAAAGGGGATGAAGGAACAGAGAGACTGGGGATTCATATAAGCAAATCTTTGAAGGTGGCAGGACAAGCTGTTAAAAAAGCATACGGGATACTAGGCTTTATAAATAGGGGCATAGCATACAAAAGCCAGGAAGTTATGATGAATCTTTATAAAACACTGGTTAGGCCTCAGCTAGAGACTGTGTTCAGTTCTGAGCGTCACACTTTAGGAAGGATGTCAAGGCATTGGAGAGGGTGCAAATGAGATTTATCAGGATGGTACCAAGAATTAGGGACTTCAGGTGTCAGGAGAGGCTAGAGATTCTCCTTGGAGCAAAGAAGGTTAAGACGAGACTTATTAGAAATTTTAAAAATTATGAGAGGATTCAATAGGGTGAACAAGGAGAAACTATTTCCACTGGCAGGTGAGGGCACCAATTTAAAATAGTTGTTAAAAGAACCAGTGGGGAGGTAAGGAGAATTTTTTTCGCACAGAGAGTTGAGTTGTTTGGATCTGGAATGCATTGCCTGAAAAGGTGGTGGAAGCCGATTTGATAACAACTTTTAAGAGAGAAGTATTTTGGGAGGACAAGTCTGCAGGGCTATGGGAAGATCGGGGTGGGATTGATGTAGGTAGCTCTTTTCAAAGAGCCGGCACAGACAAGATGGGCTGAATGGCCTCCTTCTGTGCTATATAATTCTATGATTCTATACCCGGCTGAACTAAAAAAAAGTTATACTTACAGTTAGAAATGTGCCACTCCAGATCCTTGATGTGATATTAATTGAATATTGCTTATTCTGTTCAAGGTTATTAAAAGAGCACATAAACTTTTCACATTGTGCTGTTTCACAGTTCTGTCAGAAAAAAAAGAAACATATCTCACAAAATTAATCACAAAAATTTGTGAACCATGAATCTCTTGCAAGTAAACTAGTTTGGTTAAACAGAGGCTTTTTTCTTTTAACAGCAATTTATTTTCTCCAGTGTTGTGAATAAACTTAACCTCACAGTTAGAATTTGAGTCTGCAAAAATGTGTGCTTAGCTACTAAAATGTGAGAAAATATTCTAATGAGAAGGACAGTTTAACAACAAGTATGTACTAAATATAAAACACAATATTTACTTGACTGGATCAAATCTGAAATAACTGCTTGGTCTATACATTTGGTCATTCACTTCATGGCTGTGTGTGTGACATTGCTTTGCGTAAATTGGCTGCCATATTCACCCACAAAATACACAGTCACTACACTTCACAGTATATCTGTGAAGCAACGTGTACAGTACAGTATAGCTGTGAAGCACTTTGGGATGTCCTCCCAATGTGAAAGATGCTATACCAAAAGTAAGGTTATTATTATTGTCTGTTTAGTTAAAACTAGATTAGCTTACCAGATCTTTCACATTTCGAAGGTTCTCTTCTGAAAAGGTTGCAGTGTAAGGTTGCTGTTTTATTTTCAGGCTATCAAGTTTCACTTCGCAAAATAAGTTGCTTCCCTGCAAATCCATTTTTAAAAAGTTGCATAAATAAATCCCATTAATTACCCTTGGAACATATATTGTTAATGAACTTCAGTGGTGAATGTGGAAGTTATGTCAACACTGCGACCCTGGTACAACTCCCAACACAGATGTCATTGTCCTTTCCTAAATTGTTGCTAAATGTTTGCAATTTCATCCCAGTAGAAATTAGCAAACATCGCAAAAAAGTCCGAAACTTCACACTGATCGAATAAACTCAAAAAGTTTACAAAAGAGATTGTGTGAAAAATATAAAAGCCATATAGTAGTGCAGTAAAAGTTGCTATTTGGATGTTGGGTCATTGCATTGCCTCCTCACCTCAGGCGCTGATAGCATCATCACCATCCATGGTTGCACACTCCACCTTGCTTAGCCAGTCCGAAACCTTGACCCTCGACTATCCTTCCTACCCCACATCTACAACATGACCTGCTCTGCCTTCCCCACCTCTGCAACATCGTCTAGCTCTGACACTGTCTCACACCGCAGGCCGCCAAAACCCTCATACATGCATTCATTACATCGAGGGTCGACTATGCAAACTTATTGCTTGTCGGCCTCCCCAACTCCTCCCTCCACAGGCTGCAGATCATCCAGAACTCTGCAGACCTTGTCCTCTCCCGCACGAGGCTCCGCGACCCTATCACCCCCATCCTCGCCCGACTCCACTAGCTTCCCATCACACAGAGGATACAGTTCAAGATCCTAATCCTCGCCTTCAAAGCCCTCCACGGTCTTGCTCCCCCTTACCTCTGTGACCTCCTAACTCCCTCCCATCCTGTTCGCTCCCTCCACTCAGCTGGCTCCAGCCTGTTGTTGTTGTTGTTACATATAAACAATGTGTTTGATTCTGTCAGAGTTTAAAGCAGCAATGTCAAGCTATGCAGTTTTAGCTGGTTAGACTCCAGCAGTGCATCAACGCACACTCAGGGGTCCTCATCCTTGGTTCTTGCCAACCTGCGCCTAATTCTTTACGGAATTAGGTAAGCAGGATGTGTGCATTCACTTCCAAAAATCTATCTCTGGGATTTCCATGTGTAGGTGGGATGCATGGAACTCTCAGCTTGGTTTGGATACTCTGAAGAATGGTGATGGGTTTCCGCATGTATCAGATACCCCAAAAAAGTAAGTCTGTCAGTCCTGCTACGCTTTATCTTGATAATTACAATGGGATGGCAAAATGCATATCTCGCTAATTCTGTGTCTCTTCCCGAGATAAATATAATCAAAAGGCCTCGGACAACTAATTACAATGTTATAATAATAGAAGACAATTAGAAAATAAATACACTCACTATAAATATATATTTGGAATTCATCATATTGTCAAAATGTTGTTAATTAACCTCTGGAGGGATTACAAAGTTACTTTGTTTTGTTATGATCCACAACAGAGTGGTTACAATCTTTCTTTGAGTCTGAATAATATAAGCAGCCTATGAAACACTTCTGTTTACGGTGATAAAATTATTGTGATTAAAACAGATTCTTCGTGAAAAATCATGGAATGTTGCCAGTTTGAGATTTCCCAGAAATATTCCGGTAGATAGATACTTGCTTCAATTCATTAAATATATTTTCCACAAAAAAATTTTTGAATGTGAAGTGCTGATATTGGCTGATATTTTAATAGTATCAGTGATATAAGAGATCATTGTTTCAGGGCAATATTCAGGCAGACACCTGCAAGCAGATACCTTTGTACAGTAGTTCATTACAGGTTTTAGTTAAGTATTGAATAAAGACGTACCTGATTTGTTTTTACATCCGTAAGATACAGAAGATGATTGTTGCCCTTGGTTGTCACTGGTATTTCAACAGTAACAGTTGCAACATTGATTGGGAAATGTCCAGTGTTAACCTATTTTTTAAAAAAAGTACAGAAATTAATTGTATTGCCAAATCACATTAGCTACTATCCATTTTCTGATGCAACAATCAAGATATGGAATACACATCTAATTCATACAGATCTAAACCTTGTTAAGATAATATTGTAGGACAGATTGGTTCAGTACACTTCAAAGTGTACAGAATTTGGCAAATACAGTCTTAATTTTAAAGTGGGTTTTCTGTAACTTCCTTTAAAACCAATTAGTTTAAGTGTCATATACTTACTTTGAGTGTAATCATGTATTCTGGACCAATGTCATCAAAGGTAGTTATTGTTGTGACAGCTTGTTTGCCAGAGTCAATTTCATAGAAATTTAAGTTGGTGTCCCTACAAATATAAAAGAAGACATTTAAAGCTGTGCATACATATGGAGGCAGTGGATTGCCCCACACTACAAATTTATCTTAACACTTAATTACATTAATTTTATCAGTAACTTCTGGACAACTTGTCTGTGTACATTGACTTAAAAGCCTGGAATAAGAAAAGACTGGCAAAGACCTAAGATATAATAATAATAATAATACATCTGATATAATGCCTTATCACGTCTTCGAGATGTCTCAAAGCACTTCACAGAATATACTGTAAAGTGAATTGACTATATTTTGTGGGCGAAACGCAGCAGCTAATTGCGCACAGCAGTGTCCCACAAACAGTCGTGGATTGAGTGACCACATTTTTTTCTAGATCGGGCATATCAGGGACTCTTGATACTTGAGCTTCTGATGTGATGTTCTGTAGAAATACTTCCTGAAACCTAAATATAATCAAACATAACTCCAGAATAGTTATCTATCTCCACATCACTATTCTCAATCCCAGCCGGCTGCTCCTCACAGACGTTTCATCACTGAATCCAGTCTCAGCAGCAGCAGCACATGAGTCCTCACAGTTGATCAGAAAACAAATGTTCATTTTCACATTTAAAGCCCTGCATGGTCTTGCCCCTCCCTGCTCTGTGACCCGCGAAAACTTTATCTAAGTGAACATTCCCTCCGCATTGCCCCCCAACCTGTCGGTCTGTTAGAATATGATATATGTAACGAAATGTTGTAAGGCAGGGCCCCATCAAATTATAAGCGTTAAGTTGTTAATCTTGCTTATACGGAGTCCTGCAGCTCAGTGGTTAGAGCACTCGCCTTGCAAGCGAGACACCTAGGTTCAATTCCAGGCAGGACGAAACCTTGGGCAAGTTTCCTGACTCCACACGCCTAATAATAATCCCTCCAAAACCAAAACAATAATAAATTGGTCACTTTCAATCCACGACAGTTTGTGGGACACTGCTGTGTGCAATTGGCTGCCGCGTTCACCCACAAATATACGGTCAATTCACTTTACAGTATATTCTGTGAAGCGCTTTGAGACGTCTAGAAGACGTGAAAAGCGCTATTTTAAATGCAAGGATTATTATTATTATATGAATCAAATTGGCGAATAACACCATTTTGTACCTGAACCATCACAAACATCTGTTAATAACATAAATACTTTTCTCTCAGTTAAGAGGAAGTGGTCGGCATGAAAGGTTGAAGTAAGACAATCACTGGCCTTGGGAGGAAGGAGATAAACTGTCACGCACTCATAACTAACAAGTATAGTCAAACAAGCTATTGTGTAGTCGAAATTACCCGGTTCCTGAGTAAAACAGAAATGACAATACCCCTGACCCTTTGCCCAGTGGCAAGAGGTCTACACAGTCTGCATGCCTAATAATGGATTGAATGAATAGAGAGGCATAAAACATGTCATGGGTAAGGTAGGAAAGGTTGCCGGCTTACAGCAGCAGACTTGGCAGGGAACGAGGCACCCACAGGCGGAAGGCCAAAGCACGCTGACTGCTCAAGAACCGGTAGTATATGTTTTATGTTTTCTCTTTTCTGTACTCAGTATTTGAATAAACATAGTTAACCACAAACTTAATACTGTCTGGTCATTCGACTTGAGCCATAGGATCTCTTATCCTAACAGGCTCCACCATTGGCAGTGAGGTCTGGAACTCGATCCCAGGGTCCCTTCACCTTGCCCTCTCCTTCGTTCTTGAAGATTTTAATCAGGCCATCTCTTGGCTCTAGTGAAAAAGCTATCAAGTTACTTCTCTGTACGTTTTTCAACTCCATACCTTAAGAAGAGAATTTCACTGTCATACTGCACATTAGCAGTAACTTGTGCTCTGTTGTCATTCATAGTCGCTTGCTGTTCTGCACTTTCGCTGTAAAATAAAACAGCTACACATATTATTCTGAAACTTCTAAACAGTAAAATTGGCAGAAATGCAAACCAGTGGTAAGAAATGTCAAAACATTTGTAATCCATATGTACCTTTCGACACTGAAGTCCAATACAACCTCTTTCTTTGGTTCTTTGAGGTTAAAATCCAAATTGATCTGAAAAGAGACCTATTGACATGCAAAAATAAAGAATAAATGTAATGTATTTAACATTTTGACTATTAGTCTTTACTATCTCCCAGACTCGGAAGTAAGAGTCCTACCCACTGAGCCAGGTTGACACACATGGAATTCTAGACCCAACTGGAATTTGTTCCCATATGTATCTTAGATTTCCTTGTCATTTCATCAATTCATTCAATTGTTCCAAAAAACATCCAAAAATATTTACCTCAGCTCCTTGCCTCAGTACTGGGTGCCCTACATCACAGGTTACTGACGTTTTTTCCATACTTCGACAAAGTACTTCAGTCGCACCAAACTGTTTTCCAGAAGAAAGTATTATAAAAATGAATCTATGATTAATTTAATACTTCTAAATATTTGATAGAGCAGTATCCAGCAGGAAAGTGAATACATAAAACAAATGGCAAGTGCAACACAATTTCTCATAGCCACAAAACTACACAGGAGACCAATAATGTTCTTTCAGCTGACACAACACTGAGACAATCTGATCCTGTGAAAGGTAGTTAATAAACCATATGAGAATGGTCCAATGTAAATTACTTGCTTCAGTGTTTCCCTTACGTTCTGTGGGAAAATACTCAACCTCTACTGAGTGACTGACAGACCAATTCAGACTAGACATTCCAGGTAGGGAATCACAGGGCCAGAATGAATAGAATAAACCTGAATCTTCAAAATTTACAGCACAGAACGAGGCCATTCAGCCCATTGAGTCTGCACCGGCTCACAGAGCAAACTATTCGTTTAAGCGCACTACCCCTCCTTAACTCTCTACCTCTTCAAGCCTCTATCTTTTTTATACCTGTCTATTTCCCTCTTGAAAGTCACAATAGTCTCTACCTCTACCACCTTACTTGGCAGAGCATTCTACATATCAACAACTCTCTGTGAAAAGAATTCTCCTAAGATCTTCTTTTGTTTTTCTTGTGTCTATGTTCTCCAGTTACTGACAGCCCTATTTGTGGAAATTATACCCTGTATTGAATATTGCAATCACAGTTAAACTTCCAATGTTTTAATATTTTTCATTTAAAAATAGGATGTATTCAGAATAAACACTGAACATTTTGTCTTGTGTTTTGTAATATTTTTCAGATTTCCCATACCAAGTTCAGATTCTTGTTCTATGATAATCTCTTGGTCAAGACATGGTCAAGACAACTGGACGCTAGTATTTTCTGCCAACATGTCCAGCCAATTAAGGAGACATGCAAGATCAGAATGAACTCACTGTGTCGGAATTGCATGTGTCATCCCACACATGTACCGTACCTCTCAATGGTACAACATATATGTAGTACAGATGTAGTATACTGCCACACAAGTTTTAGGGAACAATTCCACCTCATTTCATTTTCTCTATTTATGTAGCATATTGGAGAGTCCAGAATTTGGCGAATTGTTGAATTCAGACTTAACTTTGAGGTTTTAAATGATATTGACTGAAATCAGAATTTGACAAGTCTACCACATTCTTGATACAACAACAACAAGACTACAACAACAAGATTACATCTTTACAACAACAAGATTTAGCACCTTTCACGTCGGTAGGACGTTCCAAGGTGCTGGACAGAGGACAGCATTTCAGATACTCTATAATGCTACATAAATAGAGTAAAATAGACACATGTGGATTTTTTCACCAAATCTATGTTGTTTGTATAGAAATACTACCATAATCGTTGAAGGTTTAACAAACTGTATGAACAAAAGGTTCCACTCACCAAGACAGAAGATGCAAAATACAAGTTGCTGGAAAACTGAACAAATACTTTGGTGTTGTATGCATTCTCCTTCTTGTTAGATACTTTTACATCAATAGTTAGTTGCTTGTTCTTGCTATGAACAATGTAAGATGAGTCACTGTTGGCAGAAAGAAAATATTGATTAATTTCCGAATGAAACAAAATTTTAAGACCTGCTGTAAAAATGGTAAATAAAAACACTCAGCAACATTGAAAGAAAAAGCAGAGAAGTAGTGCAGGAATAACCTTAACATCCTTGTCATCTCTGATTTCTGGTTCTGATTTTAAGCACTCTTATACGCTACCCTGCCTGGAGGGGGCTATATAAGTGCAAGTTGTTGTTGAAGTTGTTTTTGTACGCTAAAGAAAGGCATTTTTGATATCAGAGAATGTAAAGGTCCATTTGTTTAACATTGGCAGAGGCTCAATTGAAGTACTTTGGCACATAGCGACAATCCCAACATTGTCAATGGTAATGAAGAGAAATCTAATGAAAATTCAAACTTGGCTTTATGTTTCATTAGGAGGACTTTTTAATGAGTTGTATATTTCAATATTCACTAAAGAGTGGGAAGAGCAATTTCTCAAAGTTGCTGAAGTGTTCAAACAGTTCAAATAGTGCAAATGGCCAACCATGGGGAGATGGTGCTTACTTTTGGAAATCACTGACCCCAATCTGACAACAACAATAACCTGCACTTATCCCACCCTCTCCACCTTTAAAGCCTATCTCAAGATCTTTTTTTCAACCAGGCTTTCAGTCAACCACCCCACCTCTGCCAAACCCATATCCTCCTCAGCTCCCTCCAGCCCCAGCTAAGTTCCCAGTCAGCTGGGTGAAGCATTTTAAGATGTCCTTCTTACGTGAAAGGCGCTATATAAATGTATATTGTTGTGATGCTTTTCACAGGGCATGAACATCTTGAATTGCCTTCAAAGAACAATCATTACACTAAGTTGGGAGAACGGGAAATTTAATAGTGATGACCAAAGGCACGGATAGAGAAATAATGTTTTAATGGACTGCAAAGGCAGAGAGAGGAGTCAGATGAAGGAATTTTAGAATAGAGTTCTAGAGAGCAGTAGCTAAATGTAAAGCTTCCCGCTTCAATGCTCCGCATGAAGGATGCTATATAAATGCAAGTTGTGTTGCTATATCATAAATTGGCTCCCAATAATAATAATAATCCTTGTATTTGATATGGCTCTTTTCACATCTTCTAGATGTCTCAAAGCGCTTCACAGAATATACTTTAAAGTGAGTTGACTGTATATTTGTGGGCGAAGTGCAGCAGCCAATTGCGTATAACAGTGTCCCACAAACAGTCGTAGATTGAATGATCAAATTATTATTGTGTTTTTTGGGGGAGATTATTATCCCCGGAAAAGCGATCCACAAATCGACTAACAACTGGGTTCCTTCTTATTGCTAGGTAAACATAGGCATGTGGAATAAGGAAACTTGCCCAACATTTCGTCTCAACGGGAATTAACCCCAGGTCTCTCACTTGCAAGGCGAATGCTCTAACCCCTAAGCGAAATGGGATAGCTGAGTAATCAGTTGAATTAGTTAAAGATATTTTTTAAGCTCTCACCTGCTCAATGCAATAGCTGGGTGAGCTTTAATCACAAGGTCTGTTATACATTCTTCATCCTCGCCACATTCTTTTGAAAATGGAATCTGTGAAAAAGATTTAGTCAATATTAATTAACATTTAAAAATGTCAATTTCATAAAACGCTGTTCAATACAAAATGACTTGTAAAACTTACAAAACTTTCTCTGGACCTTGGTGTGTTGGCATCAAGAACAGGACCAATGTCAACATTTTGTAGTGCGAGGTCCAAACGAAGACCGATTGGGTTAACAATATCTCTTGTGTCCTACTCAAAAGGAGAATTGCAGTAAAATAAGGGAAACATTGGTGTTTAGATCCATACAAAATACACACTGAAATTATTGAAATGCATGTGCCTAAGTGGGAAAGGAATTACAATGGTCAGTAAAATAATGGTGATTTTAAAAAATACTGTATATGATGTGACGATTATCACCGTTAATGTTGGCCAACACTTGGGACATTGCACTTCTACTGATTTCTCTCTCTCTTTGCTGCAAACCCCATCCTGACTTCATAGAAATGCTCTCAACAACAGCAACTTGCATTTATATAGCGCCCCTCATGCAGGTTAGACTTCCTGCTTGACAACGACGAAGCATGACACCGAGTAGGGAAGAGGTAACCGTAGACACAGTCAAAGAGGAAGGTTTTCAGGTGCAACCTGAAATTGGGGAAGGAGGTATAAAGGTGGAGGGATAGAGGGAGAGTGTTCCAGAGTTTCGGGTCGTAGTGGCTGAAGGCGCGGCCACCGATGTTGGACTGGAGGGAATGAGGGACATGCAGGAAGCCAAAGATAGTAGAGTGGAGTCAACAGGTAGTGGGATGGGAGTAAGCAGGTTGGAGAGGTAGGGAGGTGCCAGGGCATGAAGAGATTTGAAGGCGAGTGTGAGAATCTTGAAATTATTGATAGTGGAGCATTTGATCCTATCTCTTCGCAGATCGTGTAATTTCATGTTTTAGTTCGGGGATTATATAGAATGATACAGCACAGAAATAGGTCATTGCGTTAAGTTGGTATTCCTCAAACTGTCACTGAAATGCTGGGATCTGCGGATTAAACTGCCAACCAGTACATTAGCTGCAGGAATTATTTGTTGGGCAAAATCATTTTAACAAAGTAGTGTTGGGGAGAAGGGGATTACAAGTATCTCTGCCAAAGTTATCATTGGGAATCTCCAGGAGTTGAGAAGAGTGTATGGCACCAGTTATAGTTATTACACCACATCTCGTATTTTTCGCCTCAATATTTCTATCTGTTGCTATACATTTCTTTATTATTTAATGGTGCCTTCTTGAAAATACGAAGCTACGATCTGAGTGTATTGAGCTAAAACTAATACACCTAAAGAGCTATTTGACACATTTTTTGGCAACTGCATTTAGAAGAGCAATCAGTGTGTTGCAGTTCATGTACGGAGTTGAAGCTGAAAACCTAAAAAAAAATCTAAATGATCATTGTATTTAGCTTTAAGAAGCCAACAAAGGGAGTGGAGTGTATATTCTAAAAGTATGTAAATTTGGGGTGAATGGGAACCTTACTTCCATGGATGCTCCCTCCACTCAGCAATCACCAGCCTGCTTTATGCTCCTCACCTGATCCATCCCACCATCAAGCTTTCATCCATTCTGCCGCTGCTCTCTGGAACTCCATCCCACAGACCCTCCGCCTTATCCCCTGCCTCCCTGCCTTTTGCCCACCTCTCCTGCCCCCGCTTGGTCTCCTACTCAGCTATGTGAATCACTTTGACACATCCTCCTGATGTGAAAGGTGATATATAAATAGAAATTGATGTTGTTAAATAGCTTTGTAGTTAAGTCAGGGTGGTACAATTGGCGGACCGCATTAGACCGATTTAATCTGGTCCCCCACTCCCTCCATTTAATCTGGCCCACACGCTCCCTCTGTAACCTGTAAATGTTGTTATGCTATGTTTCTGGAAGGGAAACACAAAAATATTGCTTATGCGGCCCATGGACATTTCTCAAACAGGGCATCCGGCCCTCAGCAACCAAAAAAGGTTGGACCACTCTGATTTAAGTGATTGGGATCTTTCGTTAACTACTGTGAGCTAACAACTACTAGGTCACAGACAATGTCACACTGACCTGCACATAAAATTTGTGTTCATCGCACTTTGAAACACTGTCAAGAGTAATATCCTTTTGTATTAATCGGTCATGATTCTCTTCAAATAATCCTCGTGAAATCACGTGAAGTGACAGGAGATCTCCATCCAGTGTGGCTTTGTATCGAATGTCTGGAAAGTTTGAAGAGGGTTATTTTTTCAACATAACATTTGAGGTCTGAAAAATCTGTTAGTATTTTATACATTTTAAATCCAAACATAAAGTAAATAATAAAAATAACTGCCTGAAAGACTACACATATTCTCCAAAAGTTACAATATGAGGAACTAACACAAAGTATAGATGACCAATGAATAATATAACAAACATTTCTAAAATACCTTTTACAATGGATGGATTTGCCTAATACTTTCTGGAATTAGGTAAGCACGATGTGTGCCTCCAGGGAGAGAGTGCGCACTCCATTCCAACAATCTATCTCTGGGATTTCAATGGGTAGATGGGATGCATGGATATTCTTAAGCATGATGATGGGCTTCTGAATGTCCGATTGACTGAAAAATGTCTCAAACCATTGTCTTTAGTGGATAAAACAAGATTAAATTTGGGGATTAAATTGTATTATATTCATTAAAATTGTATTCATATTAGGATTGATGTGATTATCATGTTGAATTTGTTATGAAACAGAGCCTTTCACCACATAAATTCTTAGTTTAATATCCATCTTGTGTAACTAAGAAAACGACAATACATGTAGAAGGTTAATTTTTCCTCGGCTTTGCTCTTACTTTACAATGCAACATAATAATAAAAATACTTGCATTTGATATAGCATCTTATCACATCTTTGAGACGTCTCAAATCGCTACGCAAAATATACTGTAGTGACTGTGTATTTTGTGGCTGAATCGTGGCAGCCAATTGATATATTGATCAGTACGGTCAAAAACTAACAAGCTCAATGCACCTATGGAAATTAAGATTTTGGAGTGTCAGATTTATCTTAGATTTTGGATTACTCAATGCATGACTGTGTAACACTGCATTTGGCTACCCTATTATGCCCACAAAATATACAGTCAATCCACCTTACAATATATTCTGTGAAAGCTCTTTGAGGCGTCTCAACAACGTGATATGATGCTATATAAATGCAGGGATTATTATTATTATTATTATTATTTGAATTCGAGATAGGAATTTGCAAAAAGATGACATGCCACACCGCCATGGCACACCGCTTATACTAAACATGGTGAAATATTTGCCTGTAACGAATGATTTGTGTACAAGAGCTGTATGACTCTCTAGGAATTTTCACTGGAATGTCCTATGGCATTCTTGTGATCAGTATCTGACAAGGGTTATACACAAACCTATACATGCTTCAGACCTCATTTTCAGAGAACTCAACCAATAATAATTGCTGTTGCACTGGGTTAGTGCAGTGCTTTCAGCTCTCAGACCTGGGCTTACATTTATCTCAGTCTGATGGGGGGGGCGAGGAAGGGCGGTGTATGGGGGGTAGAGGGCATGGGCTCACTTGTTTGCTGAAATGAGACTCATAGTCACTAGTTCCAGTGCGGGAGCTCACACCAGCACAGGCATGATGGGCTGAATGACCTTAACTTTCTCTGTTTCAGTAATTTTTCCTCAGGAAATAGTAAGAAGAATGGTAGGTTTGCGTGATAAAACACATGGACAGTATTGAGAATGCTTGTGTATAATTCCCATATAGGAATGTAATAATTTTGTATATTTTCATGTAACTTAACTGTAGAATGTAGCTGAATGTAAATGGAGATGGTAGATTGTAAATCGTGAAAGGTGTGGCAGTTTAAACCAATGTTATTGATAAACATCTTCATGATAAGCATCCAAATAGTGGCAAACATAAACAGTCTTTCATGCAAGATGTCTTTACAGTGACTTTGAAGTCAAAAGGCTCTTTCTACACTTAATGGCAGAAAGCCCATAATCTTCAGCATTTGGACCTTATATTTTGGGGGAAAATCATGTCCTTCTGATGTGAATGTAAAGTTTTATCGAAAGAATGTAGTAGAATATGAAAAAGACACGCTATGAAAAGCAAGGTTTAGGTTTAGCAAAGTATGGGGGAACATTCTGGTCAAATGTTTATAGAATTATAGATGGAATTTGGAGAGTAAATTAATACAACTAAGTAACTACTAAGTAACTAACTACTATTTTGTTGTGTGGCTTTTATATTGTACATAAAAAGCAGAATAACAAAAATGGTTAATAAAATAGACAAGAACAAGCAATCCTTACTGACTGAAGAGACGCGTGTATCTGGTTTAAATGTAGCTTTGAAGCACACATTGAATCGAGCACAAATTTGACTTTTTCCATTGACCATGCAGTTTTTGTCAAAAATAGACAGTTTTTCTGGTGTGAATGCCATTGTAACGCTTACATTTACAATGCTTCGTGACCTGAAAAAAGAAATCACTTTTGTTACAAATTATATCTTTCAATATATCAGTGATAAAATGTCACTTATTGATCTAAAGCAATTACAAACAGCCCATGATGTTTATTAGATTATTCAACCTTCAATGTGTATGCCTTTATAATGTTTAAGCTGCAATTTATCCTCTACACATTCATAGAGGGAGCTTCAGAGCGTGAAACGACAGAGCTCCTTTATGATGTAAACTGAGTAGCACCAATGATGCTACATAAATCGTGCTTAATTCTCATGTAACTAACGAGGCATTCATTAGTTATTTTTGGCAAAGACGGTGGTGAGAAGGAACGAAGAGCACTATAAAAGGAAGGACTTGTTTGCTAAATGTACAAGTCATCTTCTAATTACCATATTCAGATCAGAGAGAAACAGGAGAGTGGGAACTTGATGCAAGAAAGACAAACGACTATCAGGGAATGAGCAACATATTATTATTATATTAAACGATGGACGCATAAGAGAGAAGAGAATAATAAGGTATGGGGGAGGGGTTAGACTGGGTGCAGGCTCATGTGGAGTACAAACATTGTTGTGGACTTGGGCCAAATTGCCTGTTTCCATTCAGGAACGTTAAATGTAATGACTTTCACCTCATTCACTGTTACACATTATACCTACAATAGGGGAGATTCACTGTGACATCATTTGACAAATGAGGTTGTTTATCAGCAAAATGAAGGAAAAGATTACTGATTATCCATTGAGGATTTCCAGTTTAATAACTTCAAGGAAGTTATTATCAACAAAACTACTGAATTTATAGATTGAGCAAAACAACAGAGTTGAATTTATGACCATCTTTGTTGTTCTTCCTTGAACTCTTCCCATGATCACAAAGGCCCTCTCATCATCAGACATCCTATCCTATCCGTCTGGCCTTCCACCCGGGTAGATCCTGAAGCAGCCGTCCAGCTGCTCCATGATCGCCTCTCCTCCACTTTCAACTTCCTTGTCCCCCTAAAATCCAGGACCATCTCTAAACCTACCCGATATCCCTGGTACAACAACCATCTCCGCCGCCAAAAACCCCAAATCCGTCTGCTCGAGCGCAGATGGTGGAAAATTGGCCTGACAGTCCACCGCCAACTGTGGCTCGAGCATCTCCACAGCTACCGCCGTTCTTTGACACACGCAAAAACGGCCTTTTATTCCAACATTATCTTGGAGGCCAAAAACAATCCCCAAATCCTTTTTTCCACCACCCACTACCTCCTCCGTGCCCCCCCTCAGGCTTCCTCAATCTTCACATCAAATGCCAAGTGCGAGGAGGTCATGGACTTCTTCTCTGCTAAAATACTCAACATCCGCCAGGCAACCTCATCCACCTGCCCCTTGTCACCCACCATCACGCCCTTTCTGCCCCCCTCACCTTCCTCATCATCTGCTCCTACCACCACCCCCTTTCTACACTCTTTCTTCCCCATCTCTCCCTCCTCCCTCTCACCCACCATCACCTCCATGAAACCCACCACCTGCTGCCTCGACCCCCTCCCTACCAACTTACTGGTCACACAGCTCCCCCTCCTATGCCCACTACTGGCTGACATCATCAACCAGTGCCTCTCCTCTGGATCAGTCCCTGCCTCCCTCAAAACTGCTGCCATCACCCCCCTCCTGAAAAAACCTTCCCTAGATCCCTCAAACCGCAGCCATTACTGCCCTATTTCTAACCTGCCCTTCCTCTCAAAAGCTCTAGAACGGGTTGTGGCCAACCAACTCCGCACACAACTCTCCTCCCACTCCCTCTTGAACCCCTCCAGTACGGTTTCCTCCCTGCCCACAGTACAGAGACTGCACTTGTGAAAGTCACAAACGACATCTTCTCTATCTGCGATCAGGGTTCCCTCTGCCTGCTCGTCCTCCTGGACCTCTCCGCCGTGCTCAACACAGTCAATTACTCCATCCTCCTTCACCGCCTTTCCTCCATCATCCACCTCAGTGGGACCGCACTCACTTGGTTCGAGACCTACCTCACAAACCGCCAACAGTACATCTGCACAAACAGCTTCTCCTCCCGCTCTCACCCGGTTACCTGCAGGGTACCCCAAGGATCCATCCTTGGCCCCCTCCTCTTTCTGATCTATATGCTCCCTCTTGGGGATGTCATCCGCAGACATGGGGTACATTTCCACATATATGCAGATGACACCCAACTCTACTTTTCCAACTCTCTTTGCGACCCCCAATCCCCTGATGTTCTGTCAGCCTGCCTATCAGACCTCAGGAGCTGGATGAGCGCAAACTTCCTTCAGCTGAATGTTGCCAAGACAGAAGCCATACTCTTCAGCTCTCGTCAACGTCTAAAATCTCATGGTTCTCACCTCCTCCACCTACCCGACCTCCCCCTAAAACTCTCCGAACGCATACGCAACCTAGGCATCAGATTCGACCCCCAATTATCCTTCCTCCCCCACATCCGGTCCCTTACCAGCACCGCCTTTTTCCACCTCCGTCGCATGGCCCGTCTCCGTCAATACCTCTCCCCAAAAGCCATTGAAACTCTGGTCCATGCCTTTGTCACCTCTCGGCTGGACTACTCTAACGCCCTCCTCGCCGGTCTCCCATCCACTACCATCCATAAAATCCAACTCATTCAGAACTCTGCCACCTGCATTCTCACCCACACGAAACTCCACTCCCCGATCACCCCAGTCCTTGCCAGACTGCACTGGCTGCCTGTCCCAGAGAGGATCGACTTCAAGATCCTCACCCTCGTTTTTAAGTCCCTGCACTCCTCTGCACCCCCCTACCTCTCTGACCTCCTCTCTCCTCAAAACAGTACCCACTGCCTTCATTTTTCCGGTCTGGCCTCCTCCTCGTCCCCCGAGTCCTCTGCTCCACCCTCAGCAGCCATGCCTTCATCCACTATGCCCCGAGGCTCTGGAACCGCCTTCCTCACTCCCTTCGTCTCGCTCCCTCCCTTCCCATTTTCAGGTCTCTGCTGAAGACCTTTCTTTTCGACTACGCCTTTGGTCACTTTCCCACCCCTCCCCCTGGCTCGGTCCTGGATCCAAAACTGTAAAGCGCTCTGAGACGCCGTCCGGTGTGGAGGGTGCTATATAAATCCAAGTTGTTGTTGTTGATCAATGCCCAATCGCAGTTGGGTGCTTAAACTTCTAATTATTTCAAATGTGACCTTACTTTAGTGATCTAAAAATTAGAAATGGGGTAGAAGAAGAGGTGGTGGAATTGAGGTATTTGATGTAATCATTTTACATCAGTGATTATAATCACAAATGATCACCTTTGGCCCTATAGTCTTCAGTGAGAGATAAATTTCCTATTCAATTTTTACAAGACATTTTGACGAAGCCTTAGAGTCTAAGGACAGTCTGATCTTTAAGCCTTGTTAGATAAGATTCACATGTCATATGGAGTTCCCTTGTTCTCACATGAAAGTAGTTCACGTGTCAGTTTTCAAAACATAGAAATTTAAGTCACCCAAAGTCATAACCCTAAAATGTGGTACATTAGTTTTTGTGCTAAAAGACTGAGACACCAGGCATAAAGAGAAGACTTGGACAACGCAGTCATAAGTACAAACATGAACGAACAACGTGACATTGATGCAGAAGGAGAAATGTTCCAAGCAATGACAAAATGGCTCATTATGGACTATTCAACAAAAAGAGTGCTTATTATGGGGTTCGCCACTGCCTGTCCAACAGCAGCCACTCTGACTGCCCTATTCCCCCTTCTCATTGCAAGGCTCACCGATTCCCGACCACAGAGGCCAATCTGTCCTCCCTGATCCACATCCCTACCCTCCCTGTCCCCCCACTCCCCCACCTCGCCCCCCACTTTCCCCCACCAACTGTCCCCTCAGCATCGGTCTACGGAACATCCATTCCCTCTTCAACAAAACACTCACCATCCAAGACTTCATTGTCGATGAACACATCTGAACCCTCACTGAAACCTGGATCACTCCAGGCGACACCTTCCCCGATAGAGGCCACACTACCCGGCTACATCTTCCATCATACCCCACGACCTAACCACCGTGGTGGTGGTGTGGCTCTCATCTGCTTGGCCTATCCCCTTACTCCTCTGGAACTTTCCCCTTCTTTGAGCACCTTATCCTTTATCACCCCTCCAACTCTCCTTACCCACTGACCCCCAAGTCCTCCCCCACCATCATCCCCGACATCTCCACCCTATCTTCTCTCTCCCTCTACTCTGAACTCTTCCTCATTCTTAGCGATTTCAACCTTCACTTCAACCCTCCTGCTCTACCTCTGCTGACTTTTCCTCCCTTATCTCCTCCCTCAATCACTCCTTCCACATCCACTCTGCTACCCACGTCCGCGGTCACACCCTCGACCTGGTGATCACTCGGGGCCTCATTGTCTCGGACCTCACCATCATCGACAAAGTGATCTTGGACCATCACTTCATCTCCCTTAACTTCTCAATCCCTTTCACCACCGCCATCCAACCCACCTCCACCTCATATCACCCCTGGAAAAAAATCTCTCCCCCCTCCTTCTCAGCTGCCTTGGAGTCATCTGATCTTCTTTCCCTCTGGTTGTCCTCCCACAATGACCTATCCTCCTCAGTCATACTTTTCCACAGCTCCCTCTCCTCCACTCTCAATTCCCTCGCTCCTCTCTCTTCCCAAACGGTCTCTTATTCACGTAAATCACCTTGATACACTTGCCATTGCCGCTCCCTTAAAGCTCAGGCACGTTACGCTGAACGCATCTGGCTTAAATCAAACCTAACTGCCCATCGGCAGATTTGGCTGGACCGTATCAAATCCTAGCACTCTGCCCTCGCCTCCGCTAAATCGTCATTCTACTCCAAGACAATCTTGGAGGCTAAGGACAACCTCAGGCTCTTCTCCTCCATCACGAACCAGCTCTTCCGCCCACCCACTCATGCCTCACCCATCCTTACCTCAAATGCCAACTGTGAGGGGATGCTGGACTTGCTTGAATCCAATGTCGAGGTAATCCGCTCAGCTGCCTCTGCCATCCCCTCCCCATCTCCTTCTCCCACCCCACCTTTGAATCTGTCTCCCCCTCTTCTCTCATCACCACCATAACCCGTATGAAACCTACCATGCTCCCTCGACCCCATCCCTATCCCTCTCCTTACCTCCCAGCTCCACCTCCTTGCCCCTCTACTCACTGACATTGTAAACCTCTCCCTGTCCTCTGGTACTTTTCCCACCCCATACAAAAACGCTGTCATCACTCCTATCCTTAAAAAACCCTCCCTAGACCCTTCTCTACTCCCTAACTACTGCCCCATCCTCTCCAGTGTTCTGGAAGGAGTTGTTGCTTCTCAGCTTCGCCTCTTCTTCTCCTGCCACTCCCTTCTCGAACCCCTCCAATCGGGTTTCCGTGCCGCCCACAGCACAAAAACAGCTCTGGTCAAAGTAACAAACGATATTCAGTCCATTTGCAACCAGGGCTCCCTCTGCCACCTCGTCCTACTTGACCTCTCTGCTGCTTTCAACTCCAACAACCACTCTATCCTCATCCACCGTCTCTCCTCTCACGTCAACTGTGGTGCTGTCCTTGATTGGTTCAGATCGTACCTCTCATACTGCCTGCACTTCATCTCCACAAACGGCTTTTCCTCTAGCCCCCGGACCATCTCGTGCAGTGTTCCTCAGGGCTCTGTCCTTGATCTCCTCCTCTTCAACATCTATATGCTCCCCCTTGGTGACATCATTCGTAGACATGGGGTCAATTTCCACATGTATGCAGATGACACCCAACTCTACCTCTCTGCCTCCACCCTTGACTCCAGGACCACTGCTGTCCTGACAGAATGTCTGTCAGACATCAAGTCCTGGATGAGAGCTAACTTTCTTCAGTTGAATGTCAACAAGATCGAGGCTCTCATGATTAGTGCCCGTAGGCACTTCCTCACCTCAGACGCTGACAGCATCACCATCCATGGTTGCACACTCTACATTGCTAAGCCAGTCCGGAACCTGGGGCCTTGCTTGACCCTCAATTATCCTTTCTACTCCACATCTGTGCCAAGACCCGCTCTGCCTTCCCCCACCTCCACAACGTCGTCCGGCTCCGAGACTGTCTCAAACCGCAGGCCACTGAAACCCTCATACACGCTTTCATTACATCGAGGCTCGACTATGCAAACTCACTGCTTGACCACCTCCCCAACTCCTCCCTCCACAGGCTGCAGATCATCCAGAACTCTGCAGCCCATGTCCTCTCCTGCACTAGGCTCTGCGATTCTATCACCCCCATCCTTGCCCAACTCCACTGGCTTCCCATCACACAGAGGATACAGTTCAAGATCCTGGTCCTCACCTTCAAAGCCCTCCATGGTCTTGCTACCCCCCTACCTCTGCGACCTCCTAAACCCTACAATCCTGTTCGCTCCCTCCACTCAATGGGCTCTGGCCTGGTTCACGTCTCCCGCCTCGCTCGCCCCACTATTGGCGGGCGGGCCTTCCGCCACTCTGCCCCCACCCTCTGGAATTCCATCTTGCAATCCCTCCGCCTTGCCTCCTCCCTTGCCACCTTTGAGACCCATCTTAAGACTATCCTCTTCGACCGTGCTTTTGATCTCCCTGCTTCCCCCACTGCCTTCCGCCCTCTCCCACCCTGATCCCCAGCTCGGGTCCATAACTCTGTCTGTCCAGCGTCTTGGGATGTTTTCCTGACGTGAAACGGGCTTTAGAAATGTAATTTTGTTGCTGTTGTTGTTATTCAAATTCCACACACAAACCTCTGTTTACCTACAGTAAGTAGGAACCCACTTGTTAGTCAATTGGCGGATTGCTTTCCGGGGGTAATAATCCCGCTCAAAATATTAATAATTTGGTTACTCAATCCACAAATGTTTTGGGACACTGCTGTGCGCAATTGGCTGCCGCGTTTCGCCCAGAAAACACATGCCGTCACTACACTTTACAGTATGTTCTGTGAAACGCTTTGAGATGTCTTGTTGACGTGATAAGGCGGCATATCAAATGCAAGGATTACTTTTTATTATTTAAGGGTATAGAATGAACTGAAATGGGTTTTGGTAAATGGCTAAAATGTAATCTCTAAAAGAACAACATATAAGACAATTTGAAGTTGAATGGTTGAGGTAAATGTAAGATGCAGGGCTTAATACAAGTCTTAAACATCTCCTCTACCCCCATTCCCCCATAGCGGAGGCAACTATGATAACTCTGAGAGACTGGATTCTCAAACAAGAATATTTTTTTATATACCAAGCACTTTAAAAACTAAAAGTACTTAAATAGTACAAAGTTCTCACAGTGATCAGACAGTATCCAGTACACACTGCAAAACAAATCTTATCATGGCGTTGCTAAGGTTGTTATGTATAAACTTTATATTTGTAGGAACAGACAGCTCACAAACATTTAGGCTGATTCATACTTAACTTCAGAATAACATAGAGAAGAACTTAAGTCCCTTACCAGAGCTGCACAACTCTTCCAATAGATCCAACTGAGAGATCTGTAATACCATCACTATCCATATCCATTTGGCCATCAATGGACAGTCCAAAATATTTCAAGTTTGTGTCAACTTCTGAAGCTAATATTTTCTAGGATATAGAAATCACAAGGCATTTAGATTCATCAGATAATACTACTAAACACAGTGGAGCATGGTTATAATATGGAAACCCCAGCAGAAGTTCACCTTGCAAATATCAGCAACTTTGGCAGCTAGTGATCTATCTGATCCAAGAGTGCCTGATCCTGACACTGGTTGATTGAAAATAGTATTTTATTTCCAATTCCAGTTTCCCTTGCCTTGATGAACACAGCATTTCACCCCATGCCCCGAAAAAAAAGTGGGTTAAACCTCTGCATTGCGCAAGCAGTTCAGGTATAATTTTAATCACAAAGTCTCAGTTAGGCTAACTGTGCATCCTGAAGTTTTTGTTCAGGAATCTCTTACCTGTGTGGATTTGGGCTGGATTGTGGTTTTGTGTCCACTGTATATATAAACCGCTCCACGATTGTCATTTTCTAACGGTGCTCCTACTGCTATGTCATTGTAACCATCCAGGTTAATGTCAGAAATGACAGCAATGGAGGCTCCAAACCGAGTGTTCCCAGATCTAGTAGGGCCTTCCAGGTCACCTTGCTTAGTCAGAATTCCCTGTTAAGTTACACACAGAGACATTGAGTTACATTGCCTGTACAGAACAGACACGAGGAAGCTTTTTCATAGATTCATAGAATGTTACGGCACAGAAGGAGGCCATTCGGCCCATCGAGTCTGTGCCGGCTCTTTGACAGAGCAAGTCACTTTCACTAACCCCAATCACCAGCTTTCTCCCCATAACCCTGCAAACCCGTCTTCCCCAGATACCTATCCACTTTTCTCTTAAAAGCTTTTCATTTATCCAGAGAGTAATCAATGACTGGAACAGGTTGCCAGTAAAGGTGGTGGAGGCCAGGTCATTAGACCCATTTAAAAAAGGAGAGAGGAAGTGACAATACTCACCAACTTTGGTAGTAATGTGGTGAAGTGAGTAGTACTGTGGGGGAGATGTGAGGGCAGCCTAAAGACCACTGGCTCTCTTTGCTAATGCTGCTTTGCTGACCGTAATTGGATTTCTGTATCTTATTTGTAAAGCACCCAATGTACTGAACACTGGATTCTTCAGCACATTCCAAGCTTCAGACATTTGATAACTGCACATTTCTTAGCATGGAATCTGCTATTCACAGCAGAATGACTTATTTCAACTTCTACTCAATGCAACCTTTTATTTTAATAGCTTTGGTGACAATACAGTTATATAATGCCCTAATCACCCCCATTTGGAATACTGCTTGTAGTTTAGGACACCACACTTTAGAAAAGTTGTACTGTATTTGCTTTGAAACCTGAACAGCTGGATTTAAGGGGTTTAGTTGTGAGGATAGAATGGGCAAATTAGGACTGGACTCCCTTCAACAAATAAGACTGGGAGATGATCTGATCGAGGTGCAAAAGTAATTGAAGTGAATAAGAGATTCTTTCCTATGGTTGCAGAATCCGATACAAGAGTGTAGAATCTACAAATTAAAGCTAGACCCATTAGTACAAGAAATCAGAAGTCATCACTTTCCTCAGAGAATTGTGAAATTCATTTCCCCAAAGGAATGTTAATTTAGGATCAGGAATGTTTAAGAGGGAAGTAAATAAATTCCTATTCAGTTTGCGCATCAGCGGATACAGAGAAAAGGCAGGCAAATTATATTGAGGTACAGATCAGCGTGAGCTACAACAATAACTTGCACTTATATGGCGCCCCTCATGCAGGGTAAAGTCCCAGAGTGCTTGACAGTGGTGGAGCACGTTGACAAGCCGGGGGAGGTGACTTTTAGGCACTGTTGAAGAAGAAGGTTCGGCACCATCTGAAGATGGGAGGGAGGGAGGGAGTAAGGCGGAGGGATAGAGGGAGAGTGTTCCAGAGTTCCGGGGCATAGTGGTTGAAAGCGTGGCCACCAATAGTGGAACAGAGGACATGAGAGACAAGCAGAAGGCTGGAGCCAGTTGAGCGGAGGCAGTGGGTAGTGGGTTGGAGAGTAAGCAGGTTGGAGAGGTAGAGGTGCCAGGGCAAGGTGGAGGGATTTGAAGATGAGTGTGAGAATCTTGAAATCGATCTAAGAAAATAGTACGGCAGGCTTGACAGGCATAACGCCTGTTCCTAATGTCTTTACATTGGCTGGAAAAATCTATATACAATGGAGTGGCAACATTTGCTAAAAAGAGAATCTTAATCTATCAACAGTTTTGTACATATTCTGGATGAGTTTCTATTGAGCAGAAAAATATTTCACCTCATTGACGGAGAACATATAAACTCTTCCTTCTTCATTTTTTTGTTCACCCATGAATGTTGGTGAACCAACCAACAGTATGTCTGTCAACGAATCACGGTTAACATCCACAGAGCACAAGACACTGCCAAAATAAGACCCCAGCTGAAGACAAAATGGAAACAGCATTCATTTATCAAGTGCAATTTTATAAAAGAAGGTTGGGTACTTGCAACAACAACAACAAATTACATTTGTAAAGCGCCTTTCACGTTGGGAGGACGTCCCAAGGCACTGGACAGTCAGGGATATGGACCTGAGTATGGGATTGGGATCAGGAGTGGTGGAGAGCAGGGAGAGTAGGGGTAGGAGGGTGGCTGAACAAATATTTAATAGCTTTTAATATTTTTATAGCTATGGTGACAATACAAATACAAATTGTTGGATTGTTTCTTTGTGTGGTTTTCCGATGTTCCTTTAAGAGACCTTCCTCCAAACAAACCCTGGATATTATTCTCTCCCTAGACACAACAGTTGCGTTTGACACATTTTTCTCCAGTCACGGAGAGCAGCTGTGTGTAGGAGGACAAGGTTCCGACACGGCTTCTGATAAAGTGGCTGAAGAAGGATGGTTTGCTCATAATAATAATAATCATCTTTGCATTTGAGATAGCGCCTTATCACATCATCAAGACGTATCAAAGCCCTTCACAGAATATACTGTAAAGTGAATTGACTGTGTATTTTGAGGGTGAAACGTGGCAGCTAATGGCACACAGCTTATGTCCCACAAATTGTCATGGATTGAGTGACCAAATTATTATTGTATTTATTTTGAAGGGATTATTACCCACGGTGAACGATCCGCCAATCGACTAACAACTGGGTTCCTATTTACTGCTAGGTAAACAGAGGCATGTGGAGTAAGGAAATTTGCCCAAGGCTGCCTCATTTTGTGTCTTATTACTGAAGAGGATTGGAATCAAAAATATATGTTTTTAAAGCAATAAACAGAATGTTTTGTTCAACTTTCTACAAACTATTTACAAATTCTTCTCCTCAAGAGGGCAAAACTTAATAAATGTTTATAATAATAATCATCCTTCAATTTGATATAGACCTTAAATGTTGTGTCTGTGCAAAGTCCCACAAACAACCATGTAGTGAATTACCATTTTTATCTTGGCGGATTATTGGCCAGGCTTCCGGGAAAACTCTTCTCTTTTCTAATCATGCCGTGGATCTTTTATGTCCACCTGAACAGACAGATGGAACCTTGGTTTAAGGTCTCACCCAAAGGAAGGCACCTCCAACAGTGCAGAGCTGCCCTCAGCACTGTATTGGAATGTTGTCCTGGACTGTGAGTTCAAAGACTGGACATGGGGCTTGAACCCATTAATTTCTGACTTGGAGGCAAGAGTATTACTAATGGAGCTAGGCTGACACCTGTTTCTAGCCTTGTTTGGATAATGTGTGCTTAGAGATTTCTTGTTATCTCGAGTTTCTTTAACTTACTCTTTAAAAAATCAGAATAGGTTTGCAATAAAAAGAATGAACTGCAGCATTGTACGTGCCTGCTCTCCTTTCTGTTTCTGTTTAATCGTGACCTCGCCATTTGAGCCAACTGTGTAAACGATTATCTGTCCCGTGTGTTGGAAACGTGGTGCTCCAGCAACATAAAACACAGAGTCAGCTGAAACCAGCGATGTCAAAGCGTAACCTGGATATAAAATATAATGATTAATTAATGGAGCGCTTTCTGGTTCGAAAAGTAGTAAAGCGATTTTTAAAATATAATCCAAATGTTATATACTTAATCCCCTTAGCATTATCGAACAACTCAGAAATATTTTTACCACATTTCTCTCTCAAGCTTAACTGACTGACATCATGCCTTCAATGGATCTACTCTTTAATTTTCCTTCTTCTACTAAGGTTTAGGGTTCACAAATCCTCTCGCCTCAAATGAAATGCTCATATCCTCCTTTGCTAAAGCAATCTCCAAAGAGCTTAGTTTATTATTTCATACCAAAACATTACTGCACCTCCTATCAATTCAACTCCAGAAGGTTCATATTAAGCACTCTGGTAATAAGTCTCTACCCCATTATTCTCTCTCCCTGCTTTCTGTCTCACATTTACTTTCAGCAGCTCAGCTGAGAGAGTTTTAACTCAGTGCATAGAGATCATGAGCATTAAACTACTATTACTCTATGGCAAGTGGTTTGCTATTACTGTAGGATGAGATCAAATCCAGAAGAGCTTTTTTATCTGAACCTTTCTTTTGATCTTACGTTGTTTACTTTCAGTAGCACTGGCATTACTGCTGTTGGTTTTACAGTAAACTATAGAACACCTGTGGATCTGGAATCAGAGGAGAAGTGGAAAAGTAGAGTTGGATGTCGTCCGCATACATGTGGAAGTTAACCCTGTGTCTGTGGATGACATCGCCAAGATGGAGTTTGTAGGTGAGGAAAAGGAGTTAGAACGAGGTACTCCACAGATGACCGTGCAATGCATATTTTCAAAGTGATATATTCACCTAGGTATGAGCTGTCATTTCTGTCTTGCAGAACACTTGCAAATATTTTTTTGGTAAAGATGGTAGTTTCGTCAGATGACTGATGTACAATTGTGCCACTCCAGTCATAGGCTCCTACTGCTCCCAGTATCAGGAGGCTCTGAAAAAGACATTTTAACTTTAAAATCACCTGTCGCCAGCAGAAAACAAAGCAGTGAAATAATTGATAACTGAACAAGAATAACATCACATCACTGTCACGGCAATCTATTTCTCAGCACTAGGTTCCACAACAATAAAGCAATGAAATCAGCTGTGGCTAATACAAGTCGTAAAACTGTAAGGTGTTCCTTCAGCTTAGTAAAGATACTATCTCATCTCTTGATTTCTATTGAGCATCTCAATTGAAACAGACCTCTGACCCAATCTTTCAAAAGTTCTTAGAATCAATAGTGTAATATAATAATAATAATAATAATAATAATAATAATTCTTGCATGAATGTAAGACCTTTCATGTCAGGAGGAAATCTCAAAGTGTTTTACGGGATTTACACTTTTTTGTCACTTGCACATACATCAGGGTTACTAGTTTAGAAACTAGGAAAGTCACATTCTCCTGGAATGAAGCTGTTCTGAGTGTGTTTTCATGTGGGGAAGTAGGGAATGAAGAACTCTGTATTCCACTCAGCCTACCTGCTATTCTTCGTACTCCAAAATTAAACTTTTGTACAACAATAAGTTGCATTTATATAGCACGCCTTATGCAAGATAGTGTCCCAGAGCGCTTGATAGTGGCAGAGCACGACACTGAGCTGGGACTGGTGAGGTAGTTAACCCTGTGTCTGTGTTTGACATCACCAAGATGGAGCTTGTAGGTGAGAAAAAGGAGGGGATCGAGGCTTCCCTTTAAAACACATCTAAACCTTTTTCCTTAATTTAAGGAGCAGGAGGTGCTTAGGAATCCCACAGATTTGACCCTGTGGAAGAAATCTTGTGGAGAATGAGATGGGTAATTTAGATGAACCAATAATCTACTCCGACCTGAAATTATTATTAAATTACTGAGTGCAAACAAAACCAGACACTTCAATCTCTAGAACTTGGTCATCATCTCTATGAGACCCACACTGACTTGAAAATGTTTAGAAATGAAAGGTAATACCTGTTTAGGTGTATAGTGTGCACTGAATCCAACTTCTGCCATTTCCAATAGAAATGTATCTTCGTTCTTATTACTGGTTCCTGATACATTTAAAAATAAAACAATGTTAATACCTTTCCCTTAAAGTTATGTTCTCCTAGTTGAACCCACAGTATTACATGCAGATGAATCCAATTAAATATGCAGTGGTTTGGATCCATAAATTCATTATGTGGCAGTAGAACATAGAACGATAGAAATTTACAGTAATGAGCGCCATTAAGAAGGCAGTTTAATGGTGAACAACAAAAAATCTTTCATAATTAATCTTAAAAAATTGGATCCCAATTATTAATAACATGTGGAAACCCATCACCTAGCTTATAAGTATCCAAACCAGACAGAGTTCCATACATGACTAAATATCTCTAGGCCACAACATTAATAGGGTGCAAAGAATGACAACGTATTAAGAGTATACATGCTGCAGGCCAAAATAACAAAATAAAGATAAATTGATTTACCTTCAATACTGAAGATCCGTTCCCCGAGAGCACTGGCTATTTCTAGCAAAGCTCCTTCTGAAGATACGTTGAAAAAGTGCTTTTCTTTTGGTTCACTCGCTATGGACTTGATCTCCTTGATTAAATTACTTGTGTCTATTCCCACCCTATTGTAATACCCGAGCACCTATGAAATGACAACAAAATATTCTGCTTTATTATAATTTCCACATTTTCACTAACTAGTCCAAGTTCAGGATTATTTTTCATTGAACAGTATCTAAAGTTTTAGTTAATTGGAACTTTGCTGAATTGTGAACTTGGTGAAGCAAGGCTGAGTGATAATGAGTTTGGGACACAGGGAACAGACTAGTTTATATCATGTACTTCTTAGTTCAAATGCACTGTATTCTGGCAGCTAAGGAGGAATGATGTCTCAGAATAAAGTATTTATTTTATTATAAAATAAAAATCAACATAAACTAAATCTGTGATAGAGATTGCACTAAAGCACAAATGGAAATATTGGCACAATTCAGACAGCAAATGGAAAATGGTGCTCTGATTTCTGAAATTAGCTACCTAAATTTTTATTACCATCTATGTTGATAAAAGTTTGATAATATATCGTGATTCAGATAGCTACAATCCCGTGTGTGTGGTAGCATTGGATAGAAGCAGTTCAGTAGCGTACCATTATAACGTGGTTGTGTTTTAGTGGGGGAGGGGGGGGATAAAATCTCAAGCAATGCTTTTACTGGATGCGATCACCAGTCAGTGTTTCCACATTCACCATGAGACAGCCAGCTCCACTGGCATTTCAAATTACCACCTTGCGCACTGGAAGCTAAAATATTCAACTTCCAGGCATTAGCAAAGTGACCAGAAATTGTTCATTTTGGGCTTCTCCACTGCCAGCCTCGTTCTGAAGCCCCGATGGAGACACTGCTTGCATATTGGATTTTTTCTTAAGTAAGCATCAGGGTGCACAGCTCAATTACACCATGAGCAAACCCACATTACAATGAAGTGTGTTTTAATGGGGGTTCTGCTGTATATCTAGTGTCACCTTTGCTTAGGTGATCGGCTTTGAGAGGAGTAGTCACTGGAATTGCCTCCCTGCATTCATGGATTTAAAAACAAGTGTCCCAATTTCATTAGTCGACTCCAAACTTTCTAAAGCATTTTTAAATTGTCTAAAATAACTAATGCTTTGTGGCAGTAAAAAGGCAGAGTGATAGAAAGCACATCAGTGCTTTATTTCTGCTCTAGGCTTTGTGCATTCCAAATGTAAGCAAATTAAACCCAATAATTACAGTACTAAGAGCTAAATTCCAAAGAACACAAACAACCAAACAAATGTGGTCTTCATGCCTGGGTTAATAATTCTCTCTTTCCCAGACAACAATCCCAAAGGGAAACCCCTTTGCCAATTTTTCATGGTGACTCAAGTCAGACAGTTTTCTTGTTTTTAAGTCCTTCCGGTAAAATAGCTCTCGACAGTCACGGATTCACATTCTAGAAAGATCTCTATCTCGGGAGTTCATCTTTCTTAAAATGCGGAAGTGGCACTCAGTCGGCCAACGTTGACTGACTGGAGAAAAGAAAATTAATTAAACCCAATTAAACTTGACATTTTCCGTTTATGTTTGTTTAGAATAGTCATAAATTAATAAATACAAGAACAAGAATATTTGAGTTAAAAAATTGTAGACAGTCAGTTTTTGACCTGTTCATAATACATTAGAACTTGGAAAAGTTTCCCTGGCTAACTGGCTATCTGTGCTAAAAAAAACTGCCTCCTTACAACGTAGGTAATCACTGTAAGCACTGTGTGCTGGTGCTTTCTGCACAGAAAGTGTGGCTGCTGTCACTTCTTGTATGCATTGTATTAATGCTATGCACAAGAAGCCTTGTTGATGTCACTTTGCACACACAGTGTGCCCAGGAAATGATATCCACATCACTTCCTGTGACTAACTTGCCGGAAATGACATCAGTGGTATAGTAGTTTGGCCAAGTCCTATATATAATATAGTATAGTCCTATATATAAGTCCTATATATAGTATAGTCCTATATATAAGTATAGTAGTTTGGAGCCTCTCCCTTTGAGTCTGATGAAAATTAAACCTGATTTTCTCTATGAAATGTTGACCAATCTGTTGTGCATTCCCAACGTTATTATTTTCACTTAGAGAGTCAATGTTTAACAATTTTTTTGTGGGATAAAGTTTGCAGAATTTCGTAACCGTTAGGGAGACTTTTACGCCTTGTATTTTTCTTATTTTTAACAAAAGGGTAACAATTACTTACAGCAATCCCAAATCGGATAATTCGCTCCGTCTCACATGCAGCAATTTCACTTGGTAAAATGCCACTATCATGAGATTCACCATCAGTTACAACAACCAAAACCTTCGTCGCTCCTTTTCTTCTACCATTATCAAGTGAGAATGCCTGGTTTCTGGGGAAGCAGGTAGATATTACACAGAGCAGAACATTCTCTGCTAAACCTCAGGCAGCCGATCAGCAATTGCTAGGTGTTTCAGCTGACCCGTGCTACTTTCATGCTTTGCTGCTAAATATGCTGTATTAATGAAGGTTGAGTCAGCGTAAATCCTGACACCATCAGAAGGAGACAATTTCAGGAGCAATGTGTTTCGCATCCTCTGCAGTAAATCTGCAAAGCTCAAATTTTGCTATCATTAGAAAAGGAATCTACGCACAAACTTGAATAGTTATCAATGTTGAGACACCATGAGCAGAGTTGTGTGTGTGTGTGTGTGTGTGTGTGTCAATGTGCAAGCAGTAATCCATTTTGATCAATAAACAAGTGCAGTGTGCAACCAGCTGCTTAATTCCTGGCTGGCACTGCTATAAAACAGGCACTAGCACTTTTATTATAACCACGGCATTAAGAAAAGATCTGTCATAGATGAAAAGAAAAGTTGTGAGGAACAGGTGGAACATTAGCGCATCTTCTACACATGGCAGCAAGTATTGTAATTTTCATTTATAATTGCAAATCAACAACAACAATCACTTTGATTCATATAGCACCCCTCACACAGGGCAAAGTCCCATAGCACTTAATCAATAAAATAACTTGCTTTTTTTTCAACAAACAAAAAGAAATGTTCACCTTGCAAAGCGAATCCCATGGGCAGTATTTGTTTCCGATCCCAGCATCTGTGACACTCGAGCTGAAGCTTTTACAGCTTCGGCTTTTGTTTTGTGATCACTTAGCTTGAATTCAAATCTTGCAGTTTCAGCGTACTGCACAACTCCCACCTGATTGGATCACACATTCAGAGACACAATTTACACATGTGCATTTCAAAATAGCGATGACACTAAAACAAAGTAACAAACTTGATTCAAAATTAACTGATAATACTGGGGGCGGGAGAAGAAATTCCATCCAGCTCCAGATTTACTCTATGTAAAATCTCAGAATGTCCAGAAATTGCTGAATCAATCTTAATTTTGAAGTCGTTTTTCTGTAATTACAGAACTCACGGAAAGCCGGTATAAAAATTAAAACTGAATTTAAGAATTTGCCAAATTTTGGACACAGCAACAACTTGCGTTTATACATGTTGCCCTTCAGGCTGTATAAAAGTGTGATCAAAGAAGTACGCTGCTTTTGTCAGTGCTGGCCATGAATGGGATGTTGCATCATAATTGTCCATCATCATAGGTGTCGTGTATAACACTCAATGGAATTTTTACTACTGTGTCTTTTTAGTCTTAGGGGCTTTTATAGAAATGAAATGATCAAATAATTAAAAAAACTTTTTGCTTACCACATGTGGAAATATCAGGAATTACAAAATCAATGAATACAAAGTGACATCAGTGAAATCAGGATGTCTTGTACACCCACAAAGCCAAAGATCAAACATGAGCAAAACTAATTCACAGTTACCTGAGCTTTGCCAGGACCAATGTCCAAGCTTGACACTAGTTCTGTAAGGAAATTTTGGACGGGATCCCAAGGCCAGATGCTGTTGGAGCCATCTAACACTATCACAATGTCAATGAAGGATCCACAAGCTGCAAATATACCAAATTCAATCATAATATTATACATATTCATTATATTGTGTACACCCATTGTCACTCAGTGCAATTGTACATGTTTGCTGAAACATTGTTCAAATATATATAAGTATATGTTAACTTGGCCCAATCATTGGGTTCTGAAAATTGTAAAGATCAAGGGTTAAGGAAGTATACAATAATAATCCTACAATAATAATCCTTGCATTTTATTTAGAACCTTATCATGCTGTTGAGATGTCTTAAAGTCCTTCACAAGATTTAGTGTAAAGTGTCATGATTGTGTTTTTTGTGGGCAAAACCTGCAGCTAATTTATGCACAGGAATATACCACAAACAGTCATGAAGTTAATGACCAATTTTATCTGGGGTATTGTTGACCAGGACGCAGGGCAAAATTCCTTTCTCTTTTCAAATAGTTCCATGGGGTCTTTAACTTCCACCTGAACAATCAGATGGAGCTTTGGATTAACTCATTCGAAAGACAGCACCTTCAGCAATGCAGCACATCCCCATCGCTACATTGGATTGGCAGCATAGACTATGTGAGCTTAACATGGGGCTTGAACCCACGACCTTCTGATTCAGAGGCGATAGTACTACCACTGAGCAAAATTGACACACCAACCATACTGTCTGCACATTACAACATCAAAATGTTTTTGTAGAAGTTGAGGTTTTGTAAATGATCACTGAGCGGGCCGATGAATATATTTACAGGAACGTCATGGACTGAAGCACCATAGCATGCAGCAAGAAACATTTTCCAAACATGCTTTAAAATAATGAGATTAATCTCTTGGGTAAACACTGCAGAAAGATAATGATCTAAGCACAAGCAACTCAAGGTTAATGGTGAATCATGTATTTTCATAAATAACCACAGCTGATGAAATGAATGACCGTTTCTACTAACAGTTTTGTCTTGGCTTATGTATCCAGTAAACTCCTGAAAACAACAACAAATAATTGCATTTATACAGCACCTCTCACTTCAGGAAGACATCCCAAGGCACGGGACAGTGAAGGGTTTGCAACCGAACTGGGCGCTGGAGTCAAGAGGGGTGGAGGGCAAGGGGGGTGGAGGTGGCAAATGACTGAAGGCATGGTCGAAGAGGATGGAATTGAGATGGGCCTTGAAAGAGGTAAGGGAGGGGTGAGGTGGAAGAGCTCCAGGATGGAGTTCCAGAAGGCGTGGACAGAAAGGCTGAAGGTGAGCAGGTTGGTTTACATATGCCTAACTCGCCACTCAGGATAACTCATCATTCCATGGGGGAAAGGGACTCATTGACGAAATTATCCAACCTAGTGAGTTAGGCATATGTATAAATACATAAATAAATGTAGCCGGGATCTTGACAGCATGATGACTTAAGTGCTACTAACAAATTAAGCCAAGTTAAGTTATCAGGAGTTTACTGTATACTTGAACAATAAATGAAAGTCTTAAGATTTATGATAATGCGGAATGCACTGTCCCAGAAGACTTTGAACTCATACCCAATGGACATGTTCAAGTGATAAGTTTCTTCATGTGTCAGACACCCAACTGACCAGCCCTGAAAATGATGAAATGTGCAACAGTTGTTGTGCAATGCAAAATTGGGACAGTCATTTCAGAATTGTTGTCATGGAGGGTTACAGTAGCTTACACTTTAATGAATGACTTTTTCAATCACTCATTCTACAATACATGCAAAGGAAATAAAATAATATTAAAAAACACATGGAATAAAGTAGCTTACATTGAAGAGCGGGCAAAAAGGTTCTTGACAGCTTGAAACTTGAATCGATTTCAGAGCACATTCCAACTGGGTAATAGTGACTCCCGCACTTCTGTGCCCACAAAGGACCACAAGTCTAAAATAAGTAAACAACACTGTCAATAAAGCATTAGGAAACTTTTGGGTAAATGTGGTTTTAAAGGTTTGAGAAATGGTGTCAGCCTATTTTGGATCTTGGACTTGGAACCCATATAGTCTATGCTGACACTCCAATGCAGTGTTGGGAGAGCCGCTGCATTGTTGGAGATAATAATAATCTTTGCATTTGATATAGCGCTTTTCATGTCTAGATGACTCAAAGCGCTTCACAGAATATACTGTAAAATGAATTGACTGTATATTTGCGGGCGAAACGTGGCAGCCAATTGCGCACAGCAGTGTCCCACAAACAGTCGTGGATTAAGTGATCAAATTGTTATTATTTTTTTTTCTTGAGGGATTATTATTAGGCGTGTAGAGTAAGGAAACTTACCCAAGGTTTCACCCTGCCGGGAATCGAACCCAGGTTTCTCGCTTGCAAGGCAAGTGCTCTAACCACTGAGCTACAGGACTCCACAAATGCTGTCCTTCGGATGATATGTTAAACCAAGTTCCGTCTGTTGTCCAGGTAGAAGTTAAACGTATCGTGGCGCTATTTGGAAAATGAAGGGAGTTTTTTCCTGTGACCTGGCTAACAATCCCCCAGATAAAATTGGTCACTCACTCTATGGCAGTTTGTGAGGCATTGATGTGGGCAAATTGTCTACCTTACACTTTACGACTTGTCGGACCACTTTGCAGTATAACCTGTGAAGCACTTTGAGACATCTTGATGACGTGTTAAGGCGCTATGTCAAATGCAAGGATTATTATTAAATGTTGACTGTATCTCAGATTCTTTCAGTATTTTAGAAAAACGGAGTAATATTTGCAGTATTTTTTAAGACCCCTTTTACCTTTCTTAAGGAACACAGAGAAAGTAGCAGCTGGTGACTCCACAAAAGCAAATTATTCCTTTCAGTGTCCGAGTGTCATTTGCGTCACTCTAAAGTGAGCTCTTTTAGTTTGTATATTTTCAGCCCTATGTTGAGCCCCAGGTTCTATTTTTGGCTTGTTATTTCATTTATTTGCCTAGGAGGGCATCAATCCATGCCTCCCGACTCCAAACTATGAACTTGTTATAATAAACCTTACATTTGAGATAGCACGTATTGCAGCAAATGTCTCAAAGCACTTCATAATGTTTCTTTGTCCTGTGGATTTGTATTTGAATTTATGCATTTGTAAATGAATATTTATGAATATATATGAATTTATGAATTTGTAGATGAATGCAGCAGCCAATTTATACGCAGTGATGTCCCACAACCAGCAAATAGGTGAATACCAATTTATCTGTAAGATTGTTACTGAGGACACTGAGAGAAGATCACTTACTTTTTCAAATAGTACAATGGTTCTTTAATGTCCACCTGAACAGCAGACTCAGTTTAAAGAGTTTGAAGTCTCCTCTGAAGGACAGCGTCTCCGATAATGGAACTGTCCCCCAGCACTGTGGTAGAGTAATTTTGTTGTTGTTGTGGAGAGTCTGTCTGGACTGTGAGCTCAAAGATCCGATGCAGGGATTGACCCACAACCTCAGAAGTACTTGCTAACTGAGACAGTCTGACGCGTGTTTAGTGTTTGGGCAAGCTTAGTCTGAAGCCTCCAGGCTGATTATTAAATGTTAACTTACAAGATCTGGGGGTTCTGACATTCAGCACAAATGTGCAAGATCCTAAAGATAATGTTGTCAGCTGATACATTTTAAGTCATATTTATTCCAGAAACTTATAATTACCAGAAATCCACCCGACTTTTCATTCCTGAGAAGTGTGAGACCAACATTCATGTTCTGCTTGACCTCTGTCACATTTGGAACAGTCATTACATCTGCAAGATCAATCAAACGAAAATAACAATAAAACAGCGTTTTATTATTAAAAAAGTTAATGTTAACGAGATAGAAGATCATTCAGCTCTTTGTGTACGTGTTAGGTTAGGGTTAGCTTCCCAGCAAAAGCTATCTATTATATTCCAATCCAATTATCCTGCTCCTTCCTCAAACCCTTTAATACTTTTCTTTATGTATTTATCCAATTGCCTTTTAACTGTTTTTATGGATTCTGTTCTGACAGCTATTTGTAGTAAATCACAAGAACACTCTGTGTAAAAATACCAACAAAACCATTCTAATCACACATTTAAACCAGTTTAAGTACTGAAATTTCAGTTCCTTCGTTGAAAATAGAGTGGTTGAGAGGATTTTGAGTGATGCTGTGCATTAGCGCATTTTCTTTCACTGTTGAGTATGAGTTTTGAATTCAGTTGAGATTAATGGGATGAATCCTCCTCTCTGTTTTGGCTGTTGGTGTCCTTTAGCAGCCATTCTGCCCCCACCCTCTGGAACTCATTCAGCTGTGGAGTCCTGTAGCTCAGTGGTTAGAGCACTCGCCTTGCAAGCGAGTCACCTGGGTTCAATTCCAGGCAGGGTGAAACCTTGGGCAAGTTTCCTTACTCCACACACCTAATAATAATCCCTCCAAAAAAAGCAATAATAAATTGGTCATTTTCAATCCACGACTGTTTGTGGGACACTGCTGTGCGCAATTGGCTGCCACGTTTCGCCCACAAATATACAGTCAATTCACTTTACAGCATATTCTGTGAAGCCGTTTGAGACGTCTAGAAGATGTCAAAAGCGCTATGTCAAATGCAAGGATAATTATTATTATAACTCCACCCCGCCGTCCCTTCGCTTCACCCCCTCCCTTGCCTCCTTCGAGACTGATCTCAAGACCCTCCTCGTCGACTGTGCTTTCGATCACCCTGCTTCGCTTCCTGCCCTCCACCCTCCACGATCCCGACCCCCAGCTCGGGTCTGAAACATTTACTGTCCAGTGCCTTGGGACGTCCTCCCGACGTGAAAGGCGCTATACAAATGTAATTTTGATATTGTTTTTGTACATCAAATGTGCAATTTCCACCCAGTTGGTCATAAGTGCTGGCCCTCAGGACAAAAAATGCCCTCAGTCTAACTCAACAAAGCAGCAACTAGAATTCTAGAATCCTTAATTAAGGATGTCGTAGTGGATACTTAGAGGATCACAATATGATTAGACAGAGTCAACATGGGTTTACAAAAGGGAAATTATGCTTAACAAATCTTTTAGATTTTTATGAGGACATATCAAGTAGATTAGATAGGGGGGAATCAGTGGATGTAGTGTATTTAGATTTCCAAAAGACATTCGATAAGGTGCCACATAAAATGTTGATTCACAAGATTAGGGGCCATGGAATTAAGGTGAAAATATTAGCATGGATTGAAGAATGGCTAACGGGATAAACGGGTCCTTCTCAGAAAGGCGGGATGTGACTAGTGGAATGCCACAAGGATCAGTGCTTGGGCCTCAACTATTTACAATCTACAAAAATGATCTAGATGAGGACATCGAACTTAATATATCCGAAATAGCGGATGACATTAAACTAGGAGGGAGAGTAAACACCGAGGATGACATTAAAAAAATGCAACAGGATATAGATAGGTTAGGTGAGTGGGCAAATAGGTGGCAGATGAAGTATTATGTAGGGAAGTGTGAGGTCATCCACCTAGGTGGCAAAAACAGTAGAGCAGATTATTTTTCAGAAGCGGAGAGACGAGATAGTGTTAGCGTTCAGAGGAACTTGGATGTCCTTGTACATCAGTCACAAAAAGTTAGTTTGCAGGTACAGCAAGCAATTAGGAAGGCTAACGGTATGTTGGCATTTGTTACAAAAGGGTTAGAATATAAGAGTAGGAAAGTCTTGCTGCAACTGTATAGGGCCCTGGTGAGACCGCACCTAGAGTATTGTGTGCAGTTTTGGTCTCCTTATTTAACAAAGGATGTACTCGCCTTGGAGGGGGTACAACGTAGATTCACTAGGTTGGTACCTGGGATGAGAGGGATGAGTTATGAGAATAAGTTGAGCAATTTAGGCCTACATTCTCTAGAATATAGAAGAATAAGAGGTGATCTTATAGAAACCTATAAGATTATTAAGAGGCATGACAGAATAGATAGTGGGAGACTTTTTCCTCTGGCTGGAGAAACTATAACCAGGTGTCACAGTCTTAAAATTAGGCGTAAGCCCTTTCACACTGAGTTGAGGAAAAACATCTTCACTCAGAGGGTAGTGAATTTATGGAATTCTCTACCCCAGAGGGCTGTAGATGCTCAGTCCTTGAACATATTCAAGACTGAGGTTGACAGATTTCTTGTAGATAAAGGGATTAAGGGATATGGGGACGGGTAGGTAGAATTAGAATAGATCAGCTATGATCTTATTGAATGGCGGGGCAGGCTCGAGGGGCCGAATGGCCTACTCCTGCTCCTAATCTTATGTTCTTACGTTCAACAACAACAACTTGCAGTTATACAGCTCCCCTCACACAGGGTAGAATTCACTGTTCACCTTGGTATACAGGCAGAGAGACTACATGGGAGTGCTTGATCTGACCTTTGAAGTATTCTATTCTCAGCATTCATATCCTACATAATGTTGAGCACAAAATTCACCAGTAATTACACTGGTGAATTTTGTGAATTCTACAATATGTATAATGGATTGATGTTCTTTTCTTTACAGTCACTTCTAGGTGTAGTTAACTTCTTTGAGGTACACAATTTTACCCATGGGAGTATGACATTTTTGTTGCTTTAAGCCGATGTCAATTCTTATTGCCCAAACTTGCATTTACAGTTGACTATATTATAATAATACAACAACAAGATTTCATTTATAGAGTGCCTTTCACGTCGGGAGAACGTCCCAAGGTGCTGGACAGTTGGGTCAGGAGCCGCGCAGGGGGGAAATGGTCAGGGTGAGGGGAGGGAAGGGAGGGAGCGAGGAGGGGGTAGAGAGTCGAGAGGGGAGCTGAAGGCACAGTCGAAGAGAAAGGTCTTGAGACCGGCCTTGAAGGAGGAAAGGGAGGAAGCAAGGTGAAGGCACTGGGGGATGGAGTTCCAGACCCTAGGGGCCGAGAGGCTGAAGGTCCGGCCACCAACGGTAGGGCAGTTAGGGCGGGGGATGTAGAGCAACCGGAGCCAGAGGAACGGAGGGTACGGGCAGCTAAGAAGGGGGAGAGTAGATTGGAGAGGTAGGAGGGAGCGAGGCCATGAATAATAATAATAATAATAATAATAATAATAATAATAATAATAATAATAATAATAATCCTTGCATTTGATATAGCGCTTTTCACGTCGGGAGGACATCCCAAAGCGCTTCACAGAACACACTGTAAAGTGAATTGACTTTTTGTGGGCGAACGCGGCAGCCAATTGCGCACAGCAATGTCCCACAAACAGTCGTAGATTGAAAATGACCAATTTATTATTGTTTTTGGTTTTTGGAGGGATTATTATTAGGCTCTTGTAGGTGAGGATGAGGATCTTGAATTCGATCCTCTGGGGGATGGGGAGCCAGTGGAGGCGAGCGGGGGTGGGAGTGATGTGTTCCCGAAGCCTGGTGCGGGACAGTACACGAGCTGCAGAGTTCTGAATGACCTGCAGCTTGTGGAGGGAGGTGGCGGGAAGGCCGGCGAGGAGAGAGTTCCCGTAGTCCAGCCTTGAGGTGACAAAGGCGTGAACCAGGGTTTCAGCAGCGTGAGGGGTGAGGTAGTGCCGTAGTCTGGCGATGTTCCGGAGGTGATGGAAGGCGGTGCCAGTTGTGGTGCGGATGTGAGGGAGAAAGGACAGCTCAGGGTCGAACAAAACGCCGAGGTTCCTGACTGGCTTTGAGAGGTGGAGAGTGCAGCCTTGGATGCTGATGCTGTCAGCATCCTTGCATTTGATATAGCACTTTTCACGTCTTCTCGACGTCTCAAAGCACTTCACAGAATAGACTGTAAAGTGAATTGATTGTATATTTGTGGGCAAAATGCGGCAACCAATTGTGCACAGCAGTGTCCCACAAACAGTCGTGGATTGAAAATGACCAATTTATTATTGTTTTGTTTTTGAGGGATTATTATTAGACGTGTGGAGTAAGGAAACTTGCCCAAGGTTTCACCCTGCCTGGAATTGAACCCAGGTGTCTCACTTGCAAGGCGAGTGCTCTAACCACTGAGCTACAGGACTCCCCCCATTATAAGACAGTAGTTATATGGACTCTTACTTTACTTTTACTGACTCCACTTTACTTAGCATGTAAGAGCTCACTATTCACTAACTCTTGTAATTTTTGCTGGAGAAAACATATCCTAGTAATGCAGAATGCAAATATCGTCTTTAAACATAAATGGTCATTGTTCAATGTGTACTTTGTCCTGTTAATTTTGTTCATTAAAAAGCATACATTCTGCCGATCCATGAAGATAAACAAGGGTTGTAACTGGTTAATAGAGATCAAGAAAATGTATGTATATGTGTGCTCTGTGAGCCAGTGTGGACTCAATGGGCTGAATGGCTTTTTCTATGCTGTAGATTTCTATGTTTCTACGTGGAGAGTGACTGCAAATAATACTTTGTGCAGAAGATGAAGAAAATCACACAAACATTCACTAGTCAAGCTGCTTGCTGTGCTGGCCTGCACTGATAAGAAACCCCCTCACATACCCTCAAGGAATTACCTGGCCCTCACAGATCCCAAGGTTATCAAATAAGAATTTCAGCATTTCTGTTCTGCCTTATGTTAAACAGTCTCAATGGGTCCATATGTTCATCATTGAACAACCTCTGACCAACTCAGGGCATAAATTATTTTCCAAGTAAGTGAGGGAGATAAAATCATTTAACAAGAATATAACATTGAAATAAATAACACTGGGGTAAACCATATCTCAAACCAACACATATATGCTTGGTTAAAAAAAGTAAAATAGTGTTAGTCTCAGCAATACGTCTAATCAGCGTGTAACTTCTGTATCCTGTGTCTGAGCATCTGCTGTTATTAGTTCAATTGTTTAACATTTGCTCTGTCTAAAGCTATTTGGAGTTCTGAAAATATATCAACGTTTGACAAACTTACAGCTGAAAATCCCATAATATTTAGTGAGGGAAAAATGACACTAAGCTTTTAATAAATGCATTTATTAAATATCAAATGTTGAATCTAAGGTTCCCAAAGCTTTCCACTGTGTTAGTAGATTAATCCATACAGAACTAATTACTGTTAACATCTCCATTATTGTAGCATGCAACAACCAGGATGGAAGAAGGCGGACTAGATGGACCTTGGTCTTTTATCGTCTTGCAATTCCTGTGTTCTATTGATGTGGAATGATTTGCTGTGCCGCACAATGAGAAGGCACAAGGAGAATATCGGAATAGATAATTTTTGCCCTTGCACTTTTGGCATCTGCATTTTCAAATGCAAATTGCAAAAAATGCAAGGATTGTTATTATATCATTTTTGTGTCATTTGTCTGGTCGAGTCTCACCCCTTCAAGGTTCACCTCAAGACCTTCGTCTTTGGCCTTCAGTTATCTTTCCCATGCCCCCATTCTCCTAGCCCCCATCCCCACTTGGATCCCAACCCAGTTTGGGTGCAATCCCTGGACCGTCCAGCGCCTTTGGATGTGAATGGCCCTATATAAATGTAATTCGGTTGTTGTTGTTGTTATTGGGTTAGAGTTATTCATCATCGTTCTTTATTGTTTTGAACATAAGCCAATATTTCCCACTCCCCAAATTATACTTTAAAAATCGTTACCTTACACAGTGTTTGTGGCCTTGAAAAATAGTAGAATGCTGAATTATACTGGCAAAAAGGTCCAGTTGTGTGCATGCATAAGACATTTCTCACATGCTTGTGAGGTTACTAGGGTCTCGAATCCACCACACTTGCTGGTCAAACACTTGCAAATTCCCAATTCCCGTGCATGCACACAACAGGAGTTGCCTGTAGTCTGACTGAACATATTAACAGACAAAAAATCATAGTGAGACAAGTGTTAATTACCAGTGGACAGATAGAGAGGAGAAGATGAGAGAGAAAGAGAAAGTTATAGAGAGGGAGATAGGAAGTTAGAGCGAGAGAGAGAGAGAGAGAGAACTTTGAAAAACATGTCATCAGATTATTTGTAATGTACCATAATATTATTATAAAATTTTACAAAAAATACAGGTGTGGATTGCTCTATAATTACCATGTTATGCTTTTTTCGTTTCTTTCTCAAATATAATCGAAAATGGGGAGGGGGGAGAGAAATTGTCTTATAGTTGAAATCCCTTTTTACATTAGGAACATTACGGTATTTCACTATGCTGCAGCTATATCTATGACTCTGAAGTCTACATTTTCTCTTTTATCTTTAAGTGTTGACCAGTCTCTATGTTCAACACCAGCTGTAGAACTAGGAAACTATTGAGTAAACATAATTGAATAATCTGAATAGCTAAATTACAACAGTAATTCCTGAAATCTCAAAAGGTTGGATAGCATTACACAAAGAGAGCTTTTGCAAGACGGATAAATATGTAATATGTTTGGCATGCCCTGAGGTCACAGGCATATTGGCAGAAAATTAATTTGCATGATGCAACCAGACATCAATAATAGCACCGACAGTTAAACTACATTCCTCCTATGTATTGTATTGCTAAGCTTGTAGTCCTGTTGAGCTCAGTGATTGTGTTTGTAGTACGGTCTTTGTCATACTTGTGGAAAGCAACAGAGGTGGGAGGACATTGCTCATGCATACTACTAGTAGTTTGCTTTTAATCTGGCAGATTTAGATCAGGTCAGGGCTCGTACATGGAAAAAAAACTTTTTGTGCTGTCTTGTCTAATCACGCCTGTGTTAGAGGAGTTATTTTTAAGTGATGTAATGAAGATCACTTTGGTTCTGAAGACTGGTAGAAGCCTGCTCAGCATTGTACTCAACTCTGATCAGCCTGTCTCCTGGCTACAACTTTTTAATAATAATAATAATCCTTGAATTTAATAGTGCATTATCACGTTTTCGATATGTCTCAAAGCACTTCACACTGTAAAGTGAATTGACTGTATATTTTGTGGGTGAAACGCGACAGCCAATTGCATACACCAGCTTCCCACAAACAGTCGTACATTGAGTGACCCACTTTTTTTGAAAGGGATTATTACCACCATAAAACTGATGCGCCAATCAAATAATAACCAGTTCCTACTTACTGCTAGGTAAACAGAGGCGTGTGGAGCTAGGAAACTTGTCCAACGTTTTTGCCCTGCCCGGGAATTGAACCCAGGTCCTCCAGCTTACAAGGCGAGTGTTCTAACCACTAAACTACAGGACTCCACATTTTGTGGTAAATTTTAATCTGCAGATTGATAGGTATTGGGAAATATAGTGAAAATTAATTTATTACAGAAATAATAGCATGTCATGACACTGCAGAAGTTACTTGATCATGATTAAATAAACTGGCTGAGCTGATATCTGATATAAATGCAAGTTGTTGCTGACCTGGTGGGTAAAGGCACCACCGTCAGACCATCATTCCTTATTGAGGAATTCCATTAAGAAATACTGAAAATTGGATGCTATTATTTGTCTGCAAAAATACACGGACACTATACTTTACAGCAAATCCTGTGAAATACTGACTTTATCAAGTGCAAGGATCATTTTTATTAATTTACTTGTATATTGATAATTTCCTGACAGGCAGGGCACACAGACTTAAAACTGTTGGTTATTAAAAAAGTGTACTTACTTTATCTTAACAATGAAGTGAAAGACTTTGAAAGTTCTTTCATAAATGAGATAAAATGTTTCGCTTCATTGACAACTTTTGATTTAAAGATAAGATCCTAAGAATTTTTAGTAACAGCTAAAGGCTATCTGACCTAAAAAAACAGATCTCTTTTTTTGACTGCGTTCAGCTCCACAATTCTGCCTTCTGACCAAATCCCTCAATCCCTTCTCCCTCCAGAAACAACTAGTTACCTCTCGAGCCCACTTATACTATACCCTTCAATGGCTTTATTGGGAATGTAAACATGTTCCACCTGAATTCCTTTCTTACTGCAAGCATAATAATAATAATAATCCTTGCATTTGATATAGCGCTTTTTACATCTTCTAGACGTCTCAAAGCGCTTCACAGAATATGCTGTAAAGTGAATTAACCGTATATTTTGGGAGAAACACGGCAGCCAATTGCGTACAGCAGTGTCCAACAAAGTTGTGGATTGAAAATGACCAATTTATTATTGTTTTGTTTTTTGGAGGGATTATTATTAGGCGTGTGGAGTAAGGAAACTTGCCCAAGGTTTCGCCCTGCCTGGAATTGAACCCAGGTGTCTCACTTGCAAAGCGAGTGCTCTAACCACTGAAGTACACGACTCCACAACTCCACCAGGTCATTTCACAATTGTTCAATGAGTTTGAATTGTAGTCAACTTAAACAGAATACAGATTCCCAGAAAGTTTACAGTACAGAAGAGGGTATTTCTGCTCATGTCTGTGCTCATGTCTCCTCCACTAGCTGCTGCACTACTCTATTTCCTTGTTTGACTTATATTCCAAGGAATTTCAGCTACAAAGCAAATAATTTGCCTGCATGGTGTTTTTCACTACTGTGATTAGTTTTCAAATGAAACTTTATACCAAAAATTAAGTGTAGAAAAATCCCACTCTTAAAGTAAAAGGCTTCTTTAGGTTCTCTAGGAAATTCTGGGGTTTAACTCATTCTTAATATGAAACTGTGTCACTCTGTGGGAACTCTTCCTACAATAGAGCATGACACACTTCTAGTAACTGAAAGGAATCTCCATTTTAGCAACTAGGATTCCTTATTAAAGAATACTTCCCACCCTCTTTGATCTCATGCCCAGCTCGGATGCCCACCAGCAGTATCAAGTACTTTGGGATGTCCTCCTGGTGAGCAAGTTGCTATATAAGTGTAAATTGTATTGTTTATTAGATATTAATGTAATATATCTCATAAAGTGACTGTATCAGAGTTATCTTTACATCCAGGAAAGCCTTCTAAATGAAGTTACATATGTTAATCTCAGTTTATTGCAGTATCACGGCCACTTTACAACATGCTCACCTCCCAGGTTGAGTTTGTCACAGGTTTGTTGGGTTCCTGTGACAGGACATTTGTAAACATCTCCTATTCGGTTCTGGGGAGCCCCACTCCATGGTGATCCAACCAGCAACCTATAGATTACAATACAAAAAAGACAGTCATCATTGAATCAAAAAAAATAATACAATGAGATTTAGTGGACAACTCCACCAGGTCATTTCACAATTGTTCAATGAATTTGAACTGTAGCCAACTTAAACCGAATACAGATTCCCAGAAAGTTTACAGTACAGAAGAGGATATTTCTGCTTATGTCTGTGCTGCGCTTATCTCCTCCACTAGCTACTGCACTACTCTCATTTATTTCTGTTGCTTTTGGTTCAGCTTGGCTCTATTGGTAGCATTCTTACCTCTTCGTCAGAAGGTTTTGGGTTCATGCCCTACATTGGGACTTCGCACTCACATCTATGCTGTCACTCCAATGTGGTACTGGGGATGTGTTGCAATGATATAACACCTTTCAATTTGAAAGGACACCTCACAGTGCTTCACAGGTTATACTGTAAAGTGTAGTGACTGTATATTTGTATATTTTGTAGACGAACGGATGCAGGATGGAGTTCCAGAGGGTGGGGGCAGAGTGGCTGAAGGCTCGCCCAACAATGGTGAGGCGGGCGAGGTGGGGGTTGTGAAACAGGCCGGGGCCAGCTGAGCGGAGGGAGCGAGTAGGTTGGTAGGGGGTTAGGAGGTCACAAAGGTAGGGGGTTAACAAGGCCGTGGAGGGCTTTACAGGTGAGGACCAGGATCTTGAACTGAATCCTCTGTGTGATGGGAAGCCAGTGGTCGGTTGAGGATGGGGATGATAGGGTCACGGAGCTTGGTGCGGGAGAGGACACAGGCTGCAGCCTGTGGAGGGAGCAGTTGGGGAGGCTGACAAACAGGGAGTTTGCATAGTCAAGCCTGGATGTGATAAAAGCGTGTATGAGGGTTTCGGCGGCCTGCGGAGTGAGACAGTGGCGGAGCCAGGCGATGTTGCTTAGGTTGGGGAAGGCGGAGCGTGTTGTAGCACAAATGTGGGGTAGAAAAGATAGTTGAGGTTCAAAAGACGGCAAGGTTCCAGGCTGGCTCAGTAAGGTGGAGTGTGCAACCATGGATGGTGATGCTGTCAGCGCCTGAGGTGAGGAGGTGACGGGAGCCAATCAGGAGAGCCTCGATCTTGTTGATGTTCAACTGAAGAAAGTTAGCTTTCATTCAGGACTTGATGTCTGACAGACATTCTGTCAGGACAGCAGTGGTACTGGAGTCAAGTGTGGAGGCAAAGAGATAGAGTTGGGTGTCATCCTCATACATGTGGAAGTTGACCCCATGTCTGCGGTAAATTAAATGGAACGATATTATTATTATTATCAGAAAGAGAATGAAACACAAGTTTCAAGAAACTTATAGCTGGTTAACCTGAAACTTCTGCTTTTGTCAGAGGTCATTTTTAAAAAAATTGCGAGAATGCAGTCTGATTATTTAAGTAAAGAATCTCCACAAAATGGATCCATCTGATCTCGCAATTACAAAATGGGTTTCAGGCACAAAGAGGATAATTGCTGAATGTTTTAACTGTAGTTTTGGCCTCTGACAAAGCAGAAGTTTTCAAGTTAACCTGCTGTAATTTCCTTTCAGGCACTTGAAACTTGTGTTTCATTCTCTTTGAAAAGGGATCTGCCAATTAACTAATAACCGGGTTCCTACTCATTGCTAGGTAAAGGGGTGTGGAGTGAGAAAACTTGCCTAACGTTTTTGCCCTGCCCCGGAAACGAACCCAGGTTCTCTCGCTTGTGAGGTGAGTGCTCAAACCACTAATAATATAATAATAATATCCTTGAATTGACTGTATATTTATGGGCGAAACGCGGCAGCCAATTGCGCAATGCAGTGTTCCACAAAGAGTCGTGAATTCAGTGACAAAATCATTATTTTATTTTTTCTTGAGGGTTTATTATCTGGCGTGTGGAGTAAGGAAACTTGCCCAAGATTTTGCCCTACCGGAATTGAACCCAGGTTACTTGCTTGAGAGGCGAGTGCTCTAACCATTGAACTACAGGACTCCACAAATGTACAATGATACTGTTGATGGACCAAAGCTAAGAGTTTAAGTGTTCGAGGGGAGAGTGAGGAAGTGCTTTCAGCCTGTCCTGACCCTCTTCTCTCTCCTGTAAACGGTTTTTCCATTCTCCAAGCTGTACGTCCTGATCCTGTGCGAAGCAGCTGTTCTGTGGCCGATATCAACAACAACAATTAGCATTTATATATGTCCCTGCTCACTGCTGGCAGGTGATCATCTCTGTGGGAGAAGAGCTGCACTTTAGTGTGCCATCCCAGGATGTTCCTGTACAAGGTCCAGTGCTGGAGTCAGCTGAGTGCATCCGCTCTCAAGAAATGCCAGTCTGACATTGAGCAGCTGTTTGCTGGAAGATTTCTGCTACAATCAAAATCTCATGTCCACTGCAACCAAAGTATTCTCCATTAAAAGTACTTTTCCTCAAATAGAGGCACTGAAAGGATAGTAATAATAGTAGTCCTTGCATTTGATAGGCGCCTTATCACGTCATTGAGATGTCTCAAAGCGCTTAACTGTAAAGAGTAGTGACTGTGTGCTATGTGGGGGAAATGTGGCAGCCAATTGCGCACAGCAGTGTCCCACAGTGTGTAGGGATCATTCTACCTGCACATTGCTATGTCAAATGTCCATTTAAAGGGCTCACATACTTTGAGAAAATCATGTTTCTTGATCTTACTATTTACTCTTTATCTTACTACTTGGATCAACAGAATCACTGAAGAGGGGACTGGGAGAGCTCCTGAGAAGATAAAACATGAAGGGATATGGGGAAAGAGCTGTAAAGTAGGATTAGTACAAAAGGAAGTTTAGAAAAACCGGCAGCAGTTGTACAGACGTGGTGGGCTAAAGGGCCTGGTGGTTTGGACTGACAATTCCTATTTTCTCAATGCTCACTAAGATTCCTTCACGTGGATAGGTAAAAGGTTTGCTGCTTTCTACTCAGATAAGACAATACTAACTCATAAGTAAAGAAGAGCTAGGAGCAGTTACGTGGAGCTTTGAGAACCTAAGTACCTCTTAGACTCACTTATTCCCCATGGCTCCACCCGACCCCTCCACTTCGCTGGTTCCAGCCTCCTGGATGATCTTCGCCCCTCCATTCCACCATCAGTGGCCATGCTTTAAGCTACTATGCCCCGGATCGCTGGAAGTCTCTCTCTTAATCCCTTCACCTTGGCCCTCCTTCCCCATTTTCACATCATGCCTTAAGAGTTCATGCCTATGGTCACCTCCCACCTCCCCTGGCTCGGCGTAAGTCTCCGATACTGTTAAATGCTCTGAATATATAGCGCCTTTCATGCTACCCTGCATGAAGGGCGCTATATAAACGCAACTTGTTGTTGTTGCATTAGGATCAGTGACTTTCTTTAACCTAAATTTAAAAAGAAACTGTAATCTTTTGTGTGCTTTATCGTGATTCAGTTAATTAACTTGCTGTTCTTCAATAAGACGTTTCATATCTGTCCTTTATATGATTTCCCAGTAAACTAAGTTCACAGATGTTCAATAAGCCACAAATAGCCAATTGTTCAGAATAGTTTTCTCTCTCCTGATTTATCCACTGAGATATGACATGGGATTGCTGTCAAAAGAGTGAATAGTGCAGTAGTGTCTGATGTAGGAAAAGGATTTTACTTTCTTTCATCGATCTCTAGGAATACTCTGATACATATCTCTGATGAGCTGATAACAGGACCATTTTACATTGGGATTTTGTATAGAGATAGACTTCCCTGTATTTCTGGGTTGACTTATCTTACTGAAACATTCCATTTTTGTTTTGGATCAGTGCTGCAACTCCACATCTTTCATCAAACCATGGGTGTGAGCCAATGTTCAGTTTAGATAATCGTCATCCAATCGCTCAACCCTGTTGGGTCATGTTTTAAAATGTGTGCTCTTTTGTGCAAGACTTCATAAGAGAGCACAAATTCCTGTCCCCATTCCTGCCCCAACACTCCTCCATAATCCACCGGAAGACTTTTCAATTAAGTTGTGTTTACTCTAATGTTCTGCCTTATAAAATTGAATAATTCAAACAGTGCCTCAGACAGTGAGACACAATGCATCAGTGGCTTCTTTATTCAGCATTAGAACTTCACTGAAACATCATTTCTGATGTTGCTCTAAGATCAAAAAGATGCATCCAACTGAGAGTTGAAGGGATAAGAATGGAAGCTCAATTCTTTTCTTCCAATTTTAGCAATTCAAATGCTGACACTTAATTATTTTCCTATGAGGACAGAATAATTACACTACTATAAATCATGAGGCAACTCCCAGTTTGAATATGACCGACTCCATTGGCTCCCTATCCTTCAGATGATCTAGTTCAAGATCCTGGTCCTCATCTACAAAGCTCTTCAGGCCTTGCCCCACCCTACCTCTGCGACCTCTTAATCCCCTACCAATCCGCCCGCTCCGCCTCCCCCGCCCCACCATTGGCGGGAGAGCCTTCAGCCACTCTGCCCCCAACCTCTGGAATTCCATCCCCCAATCACTCCGCCTCACCCCTCCTTAGCCTCCTTCAAGTCCCGCCTCAAAACCCTTCTCTTCGACCATACCATCGGTCAACCCCCTTCCCCTCCCCTCCCTGACCCCAGCTCATGTCTGAAATACTGTACACTGTCCAGCGCCCCAGGATTCCTTACTTTGAAGCGCTCTGAGACACCATCCAGCGTGGAGGGCACTACATAAATCCAAGTTGTTGTTGTATACAAATGTAATCTTGTTGTTGTTGTAGGACATAGTGTTTTGTGAATACAGTATCTGTGATTCCATCAAACTGTTGCACGACAGATTACAACTTGGAAATGTGTTTCAAGAAAGATGTAAATGGACAAGATGTGCAGCTACTTTGCAGATTATTGGGGTGAGAAATGTGACCTATGATGTGTTAATTAACACACTGTTGAAAATTCCACCTTATTGTTGATTAAAGACAAAGACTGAAGGCACGATCAAAGAGGAAGCTCTTCAGATAGACCTTGAAAGAAGTGAGGGAAACGGCGAGGGGGAGCTCCAGAGAGTGAGAGCAGAAAGATTGACCATTAATGATGGGGCGGATAGGGTGGGAGACGTGAAGCAGGTGAGTGCCTAATGAGTGGAGGGAGTGGGCAGGTTGGTAGGATTTTAGAAGGTCACAGAGGTTAAGTGGGGAAGACCAGGGGTGTATCTAGGATTGAACGATTGGAGAGGTATTGAGTCAGGATTTGGCCGACTTGGCTCCACTCCTCTGCTGGACTGCCAGCCAGCCAGTGGGGGACCTTGACCCATGCCCCACTGACACCTACTGGCTACCCCACTGTGAAGAGCTTTAAAAATGAGGACGAGGATCTTCAACTCAATCTTCTTGGGGATGGGGTGCCAGGGTAGGTGGGCGAGGATAGGGGTGATAGGCTCACAGAGCCTAGTGTGGGAAAGGTCCCGAGCTGCAGTGTTCTGTATGGTCCTGCAGACTGAATGTGCGTAGTGTGTAGAAAAACAATTACGAAACTGTAGTAGGAATCAGAATTATGATCAGTGGCCTCTGTAAACTAAGACTGTGAAGTCTACAATTCAACAACAAAGACTTGCATTTATATAGCGCCCTCCATGCTGGGTGACATCCAAGAACCCTTGACAGTGGTGGAGCCCAATGCCAAGCCTGGGGGAGTGGGAAGGTGACCAAACGCATAATAATCTAATAATAATCCTTGCATTTGATATAGCGCTTTTCACATCTTCTAGACTTCTCAAAGCGATTCACAGAATATACTGTAAAGTGTATTGACTGTGTAGTTGTGGGCGAAATGTGGCAGCCAATTGCGCACAGCAGTGTCTCACAAACAATCAAGGATTGAAGTGACCAATTTATTATTGTTTTTTTTCTTGAGGGATTATTATCCCTGAAGGCATGGTCGAAGAGGAAGTTCTTCAGGCACAACCTGAAATTGGGAAAAGAGGGGGCAAGGTGAAGGAAATGAGGAAAGGTGTTTCAAAGCTTCGGGGCGTAGTAGCTGAAGGCATGGCTGCCGATGGCGGAGCGGAGGATTCGAGGAACGATGAGAAGGACAGAACCAGTAGAATGAAGGCAACGGGTAGTGCTATGAGGAGAGAGGAGGTTGGAGAGATAGGTGGGTGCCAAGAAGTGGAGGGATTTAAACACTGGAGTGAGGATCCTGAAGTCGCTCCGCTCTGTGACAGAGAGCCAGTGGAGTTTGGTAAGGACTGGGGTAATCGGGGTGCAGAGTTTAGTGCGGGTGAGAATGCGGGCGGCGGAGTTTTGGTTGAGTTGAATTTTGTGGATGGTGGAGGAGAGGAGACCGGCGATGAGGACATTTGAGTATTCTAGCGGAGAGGTGACGAAGACATGGACAAGGGTTTTGACAGCTTGTGGTGTGAGGTATTGTCGGAGACAGCCAATGTGATTCAATTCATTTTGGACAAACAGCTCCTCCATTGGCTGCATAATAATAATCCTTGCATTTGATATAGCGCTTTTCACGTCAGGAGGACGTCCCAAAGCGCTTCACAGAACACACTGTAAAGTGAATTGACTGTATATTTGTGGGCGAACGCGGCAGCCAATTGCGCACAGCAATGTCCCACAAACAGTCGTAGATTGAAAATGACCAATTTAATTATTGTTTTGGGTTTTTGGAGGGATTATTATTAGGCGTGTGGAGTAAGGAAACTTGCCCAAGGTTTCGCCCTGCCTGGAATTGAACTCAGGTCTCTCGCTTGCAAAGCGAGTGCTCTAACCACTGAGCTACAGGACTCCACCTGTATGACCTGAATGAAGCTAACCCTGCATTAGGTGTCAGCCAGGATAGTTAATGCCTGCGTTCCTCCATAGAAAAGATTCCAGGGGAGGATATGGTATGTTAGGTGATAATAAAGACCATTGATGTGGACAGAAAATGCAGTTACAACTTATCCTTAACAACAGGCTTGGGAGTAAACAACCATGCCTCCCCTACCCCCCAACTTTGAGAGAATGCTTTGCTCACAAACTCTGGAGATTGAAAATGACTGACATATTTTCTTTTAACAGGTGAGGAAACAGCTTGTTACATCTAATGGGAAAGGAAGCATAATCTACAAAGCAACAACAACAACAACAACAAGATTCCATTTATAGAGCGCCTTTCACGTCGGGAGCCCGTCCCAGGGCGCTGTACAGTTGGGTCAGGACCCGAGCAGGGGGGAAATGGTCAGGGTGAGGGGAGGGAAAGGAGGGAGCGAGGAGGGGGTAGAGAGTCGAGAGGGGAGCTGAAGGCACGGTCAAAGAGAAAGGTCTTGAGACCGGCCTTGAAGGAGGAAAGGGAGGAAGCAAGGCGAAGGCACTGGGGGATGGAGTTCCAGAGCCTGGGGGCTGAGAGGCTGAAGGCCCGGCCACCGATGGTAGGTGGGGATGAGGATCTTGAATTCGATCCTCTGGGGGATGGGGAGCCAGTGGAGGCGAGCGAGGGTGGGAGTGATGTGGTCGCGAAGCAGTCACTATCTTAACAACATATTGCCTATTGCAGCAATAAATTAATAATAAATTAACATTAACACATCATAGGCCCAAAATTCCTCCTAGTCTTAACGTATACAATGTTTGCGCTTTAAAAACTTAAAACTGAACATTCTTAATCGTGGATTCAGTCTCAGTTTGGAAGTCAGTTTTTTGTTTTAAGAGCCGACTTCCGATTTCAGATTGAATTTAAGAATTCAGCACAATCGCAAAAATTTTAGGAACAAAGTAGTCTCACAGGCAAAGACCAGATGAAAGATCAGGTATCACAGGTCACAATTCTCCTCCCCCATAAATATATGAAGGTAAATACCCACTCTAACAATGGTCACGTGGACTATCAAAATCAGTTCTCTTACCACTGGCCTTTGGAGTTTGAGAACTGCTGAATAGAGTAACCAAACTGACCATCTGCTGGGCCAGTATAAACCTGGGCTCCCTTCACATCGACATTAAAGGCCTGGGATGGCTGAAGCAGAAGAGTTCCTACAAATGAACAAAACAATATAAGTGCCAAGTAAAACCAAAATACACGTACAATTGCTGCTATATTAACAACAACAACTTGCATTTAGACACCCTCCCTCACACTTGGTAGCACCCCAGAGCACTAAAACAAATAGATACCGCAAATAACAAATAGTTACTGAATCTATCTGAGCACAATTGCATACCAATCAGGACGAGCGGTAGAGGCCAGGACATGCGACTCATTTAAGAACGTCTCAGATGGGATCTTATAGAGGTATATAAGATTTGAACTGGGATTGAGAAATTAAACATATTGTTCATGAAATCATCATATGAAATCATCATATAACTGAAAACCATAGTCTGAGACAGTACTTAATTATGACTGGTTTGGCTGTGACAACTTCAGCAAAATAGTTTAACCCTAATCAAGCTGAAGTCTCTGACCACTGCTATTGTTATTGCTGCTCTCTTATGCCAATATTTCGGGCATCCATACAAGACTTGCATAAAAGCAACGATTCAAAGGTGCCTTCAAAGCCTTCAAAGACATCCCAAGGACCACCAAAGTGTAGGTGGGCAAACTCTTGTACTGCTTTTGAGCTGGCATTGGAAGTGTTAGGTTTCAAATTGGAGCTTTTCAAAGCTGCTTTACAAGATAACTTAAACCAAGTTATTATCTTGTAAAGCACAACTCGAGTTCTGTTCCCATGGACCATAAAGTGGGTTCTCTTAGTGGAAGCCCAACATAGTGTCTCCATACAGGCTTTGGCTGCTACCATTATTCAGACCTTGGGTGGGGAATATTTCATCAACTCATGTTAACAACTGTTTTTAGGAATCCTGAAATTTTGACATCGCTATGATTTACTTTTGTAGCTCATCTTTGTTTGCAAAGTTTATTGTTCACCACTACATTTGTCAAGCACTTTGAGATGTTCTTTTTCATGAAAGATACTACAAAAATGCAAGTTGTTAGAATTTTGGCTTAGAGTTATGTTTGGTGTTCAGAAAAAGGTCAATTCAACCTCATGGTTAGATAAAATGTTGCTTCAAATCTTCATTTTATTGCAAACTCGAGAAATGTAACAACAATGCCATTACTATTATAATAATAATAATAATCCTTGTATTTTGTATCGTGCCTTTCAAGTCAGGACGACATTCTAATAGTCTATCACTTGTATTCTATAATAAATTTATATTCTATAATATGTTATATTAAGTCATAATTTAATATTCATAGCATTGTCATTTCCTGGATTGACAACACAAGTTAATTTTCTCTACACGTCTTATGCTGTTGCCAGTCTGAGTCTATCATTACCAAGTTAAAAAAAAATATTGCCTGCAAAATACATGGTAATCATTGTCATGCATGGTACACTTGATGGCAATTACCTGTTAATTGCTTTGAGAAATGTTGACATTATAGGTTCTATATAATAATAAGCCTTGTATTTGATACAGTGCCTTATCACGTCTTCAAGATGTCTCAAAGCGCTTCACAGAAAATATTATAAAGTGAATTGACTGTATATTTTGTGGCGAAACACGGCAGCCAATTGCGGACAGTAGTGTCCCAAGAACAGTTGTGGATTGAGTGACCAATTTTTTTTTTAAGGAATTATTACCCCCGGAAAAGCGATCCACCTATCAACTAACAACCGGGATCCTACTTATTGCTAGGTAAACAGAGGCATGTGGAGTAAAGAAACTTGCCCAACATTTCGCCCTGCCGGGAATCAAACCCAGGTCTCCCGCTTTGTGGAGTCCTGTAGCTCAGTGGTTGAGCACTCGCTTTGCAAGCTAGAGACCTGAGTTCAATTCCAGGCAGGGCGAAACCTTGGGCAAGTTTCCTTACTCCACACGCCTAATAATAATCCCTCCAAAACCAAAAACAATAATAAATTGGTCATTTTCAATCCATGACTGTTTGTGGGACATTGCTTTGCGCAATTGGCTGCCGCGTTCGCCCACAAATATACAGTCAATTCACTTTACAGTGTGTTCTGTGAAGCGCTTTGGGACGTCCTCCCGACGTGAAAAGCGCTATATCAAATGCAAGGATTATTATTATTATTATTATTATTATGAGGCGAATGTTCTAACCACTGAGCTACAGGACTCCACAACTTGCAGGACTTGCATATAAAATGCAAAGATTATTCATTAAACTGCAGTAAAGTGAAGGTCAAGGTGACGGTGCAGAAACAACTTTGTTTTCCAGAAGTTGAATTCCATCTTCAGGTCAAACAATTCCTCAAACATAGTGAAGCCATTTTTGATACTCTGTTCTCCCAAACCACAGGAAGCTATGGCTTGGAGCACAAGTACACATAAAATCAGCAATGTTCCAAAACACTCAGAAGCAGAGAACATTACTGCGAAGAGAGTGGCACATATGGAGTGAATTACAATAAACAATGGTTCACATCACAAACAGGGGATAATAATAATGATAATAATCCTTGCATTTGATATAGTGCTTTTCACGTCTTCTAGATGTCTCAAAGCGCTTCACAGAATATGCTGTAAAGTGAATTGACTGTATATTTGTGGGCGAAACGCGGCAGTCAATTGCGCACCCAGGTGTCTTGCTTGCAAGGCGAGCGCTCTAACCACTGAGCTACTGGACTCCACGCATAAAACGCACACAAACATACATGCACTAAACCACATACATATACCCACATACACGCAAACACATGAACACACAGATGTGCACAGATAGACAGAAGACTTGTTGGTTGGCACATTTCCCAAATACTTTAAAAGCAGCATCTCTTCTGACTTAGAACTGATTGGCAAGAGTAAATCAATATACACAGTGGACGTATAGTATCATACATTATGTCTCCAAAAAGTTTACTTGAATCATTTTGTTTTTATCATAACAGCATTGATAAGCCCTGCTCTTAACATGATGCAGGTCCAAGTAGAGTATGCTGGGTTACTAATTCCGATATGGAGTTTCTCATGTGATACTGTACTTAGTCAAAGGTTTTTTGGAAGTCCAGGTACATATGACTTCCAAAGTCAGTTTGAAATGAAATTTCCTCACAAAAGTCTTTTAAGTTTTTAATCACCCCAACATCTACCTCTTCTGAAGCCAGGCTGCCTGTCATTCATTAGATTATTTTTATACAGGGAATCTTTTGGAGTTTGATTCCATCATTTGTTCGATTATTACGGTCAAGCTAATGGTTCTGCAGTTTTCATATATGGTCCAATCACTTTACTTGGATAAGTATTTGTTTGCTTCTAGTCTATTAGAACCTCACCATTGGTGATGGACTCCCTCATTATGCCTATTAGTGGTTCACAAATCTCCGGTCTTGTCTCTTCAAGTAACATGTAGTCTCGACTTGCCCAATCTCTTTTTTTAACCTCTTTCTATTCAGACCATTCAGCCCAATGTCAGTTTTCTGCCTCAATCCCTCTTTGCCCATCTTGCCTTGCCCCTGTTTGCCCATCTTAAGATCTCACCTGAAGACTTTCCTCTTCAACTGTGCCTGTGGTCATTTCCCCTTTCTCCCCAGCTTGGCATCAAACTACACCATTGTTAAGGGCTCTGAGACACTATCCAGCTTGAAGGGTGCTATATAAATGCCAGTTGTTTTTGTTCTCCTTTGTAAAAAAAATGTTTTCTTAATCCACATTATTTTCCTGCCGATCCATTTTGGAGCTTCACTTGAGTATCTAACTGCCCCATCTGCTTGGGATTAATGTTTTTTTAAGGATATATAAGAATAAATAATAATCTTTGCATTTAGTATAACCCCTTATCACATGGTTGAAACATCTCAAGAACCACAACTAAAATATCTTAGATAACTATGAAATCACCCAATCTGCTCTCTCCTCTAGAACACAAATTGAAAAGTGTCTAAGACTCTAAAATATATGAAAACTGAGTCAAATTCAAATACAACAATAACTTGCATTTATACAATGCTCTGCATCTAGAATAACGTCTTGGATTGAAACACTTGGGATGATGTTGGGTGCAGAGCAAGGAGGGTGGGGTTTGGATTATAGAAATATGCCAAATATATTCAGATTTGAAGCAGAATGACAGCCTGTAGGAAGGTGGTGCTGTAACCAAGGTTCAATTTTACCCTAAGGGAAAACATGTTTTTTTCCCTTTATAAAGAAAATAATCTTGGTCACTCACTTCACGGCTATTCGTGGGGTATCACTGTGCACAAATTGGCTGCTGCTTTTGGATACAAAATACACAGTCACTACACTTTGCTTTATAGTACAATGCTTCTATCAGAATAATCTAGTAAAAACACTTCCATTTTTCAGTAATCCATACAATATATATGTATACATGTATGTAATATAACATTTATAAATCTGATTTTTTCCTTGTTTCTCAATTAATTCTAACAGACATGGCTGCCAAGTTCTCAGTCTTCTTGAAAAGTATTAATGGTGTTTAGGGGAACTGAACTTTCTTTACTGTTTCTTAATCAGCAGCACAGCTGATTTCCCTGACCATCTGGCTGGTTGCCAATCTTGGTCCAAACACAAACCTTAAATGTCAAAGGGAACCGGGGAGAGTCGTAAGAAAAGGGAACAAATCTGAACATATACGATTTCTGTTTGAAGTTTGCTCCATGTGAGTATGTTTTCTGCTGCTAAGATTTCACACTATGCACGTGCATTGCTGAAATGCACACACAATCAAAGCCTCTCCCATCTTAAAAATCTGATCTCATAATAAAGGTGACTGCCTGGTAGCACTCTCATCTTTGAGTCAGGTTGTGGGTTTAAACCCCATGTTGAAACTCTGAGCACATAATCTTGACTGACACTGCAGTGCTGATTGAACTCCTCCTGAGGTGAAAAGACAGATATAAATGTAAATTTGTATTATATGGTCTATCACCCTTTTACTAAAATAAATCTCTGCATTTCTCATTCTCTTTTGTTGTCCTTACTTTGACAAGAAACCCCTTATCCTTGAATAACAGTAATGAATGAATATGATAGCAGAACCGGGG